ACGCTATCTGGTGGCTAAATTCAAAATTAGAGTAGACAGGTCGAATTGCTACGCCACGTGGTGGGATCTCTAGCACTTGAATACGCTATCTGGTGACTAAATTCCAAATTAGAGTAGATAAATCGAATTGCTATGTCACGTGGATCTGTAGCACTTGAATACGCTATCTGGTGACTAAATTCAAAATTAGAGTAGATATGTCGAATTGCTACGACGTCACGTGGGATCTCTAGCACTTGAATACGCTATCTGGTGACTAAATTCAAAATTAGAGTAGATAAATCGAATTGCTACGTCACATGGGATCTGTAGCACTTGAATACGCTATCTGGTGGCTAAATTCAAAATTAGAGTAAATAGGTCGAATTGCTATGCCACGTGGTGGGATCATTTTCAAAATAAACGGCTCAAATGACAAATATTTTAGTTCAATTTTTCATTATAATTTTACGTATACTTCTCAAACATCCTTAAAGAATTCCTAAATAAATAAAACAAGGAAACATTTGGATGAATAAGGTGTCATTTTATTTTGTTTTATTTTTTGTTTGTTTTTTTGTTTTTGTTTTTTTTTGGAGGAACTAACGAATAATGAAATAAAAAATGAAAAAAGCTGTTTAAAGTTGAATAACTATTATTGTATTAATTAGCACATAGTACAACAATACAGAAAATACAGGTATATATATTTATGATGTATAATATACCTAAATTATTAATGTTAATGAATGAATAATGTATTATACTTTACTCGTTAACATTTCGTAAATTATAATACTTTTTAATTCTTGTTTACGCATTCATTTTATTATTATTATTATTTTTTTTTTTTTTCAATATCATATAACATTATAATTTTCTAGGCACGTTAAACGTTTGTTAATCATTTTCTAACGAAGGTTAGATTTTCTAATGGATAATGTATTTTTTTTTCTTTCTTTTTCTTTTTTTTTTTTGTTTTATTTTTTATCAAATGTCTATGGTAAAAAAAAAAAACAAAAACAAAAATAAAAAGACAAAACAAAAAGAAGAAAAGTGAATCATTGAACTAATTTTTATTATCTAAAAAATATGTTAGGCATTTAAATTGTAATTATTTAAATTAATTTATATATGTTTATATTTTTTTTTTTTTTTTGATAAAAGTATATTCATAATAGTATTGATATTTTTGTAATTATTATTTAATTACATCAATATTCTTCCATCATAAAATTATATAAAAAAAATATTAGATGTTAGATCTTCAAATTAAATTAAATCAAAAAAAAATAAACAAAAAATATAATAATATATTTAAACAGATTTATAGACATTTGTTATAATAAATATATCATTGATAAAAGATGTTTGATTTAGGTTACTCTATACTTATTGCAATGATTTTTCTAACGTGTAATGGCACCGAGCTATAAATTTATTCTTTCTTGAAAAAAAAATATATATATATATATATATATTTATGTGTGTAATTTTATTATTCAGTTTATTGTTGTATTGTAACGCGTTAAGGAGGACAAAATGTTTGTTGTTTATTGCACAATCAGTCTTGACTAAAAATTATATACTTTTTATACAATATTTTATATATTTTTCTTTCTTTCTTTCTTTTATTTATTTATGGTACCGTAATCCAAGAGATACGTAAAAAAAAAAACATTAAAAAATAACACGTTATCTCTCTTCTGAATAAGCGCTTTTGTTAATAATTAATTTTATATTTGAATGTAGATATATATATATATATCTTATATATAACGATTAATTATTAGGTCGAGTCATAAGTAACTTTCGATGCGGCTATGTAGAATCTATTTTTCGTATTTACCTACTATAAGTCACCGAAACAAACGAATTTTCGATATCACTGTATAGATGAGGATTCAGTTTAGTCTTCTGTCAACTTTTTTTATGCAGTCAATGTTACATTTAACCGTTTTTCTTAACCACTGAAATGGATAGTAAAGATCACACGTGTTAGAAGTGAAATCTTCAATAAAACTAAGCTTCGAGAGAATGAGACGAATACAAAATAAAAATATCTGATGTAGGATAATTGTATTCTCTTCTTATTTAGTATCGCGGCCGTTTCATCGCCTCCCACCGCTCCGTTACATAGCCGCCTACCGCTCCGTTACATTGTTTCAAATCACACCCATTCTAAAGAAGTTTTCACTTCAAAAAGTGCGTATTCAACATGTAATGCTTTAGGAATTGAAACAAGGCAATAGCACTAAGGTGACAACTGAAAAAATATACAGCTTATACAGTGCAGGACTGGATAACTGATAGGACAGTTAGAAATTGATTTGTAAAATTCCGTTCTGGAGATACGATCTTAAAAGATGAACCGAGTGCAGAGAACGTATTTCCGACTTTGATGAACCTTTTAAAAGTAATATTGAGAGCAAAATCCAATAGATACGTTGAACAATTGGAAAGAGTGCAAAAAAAAAAACTCCATGAAAGGTGTCTTGCACTTATCAGTCGCAGAAACGCCATTCTTTGTCTGATAAAAAATGGAAGTTATGTCGATATTATAAATTAATTATTAACATTTTATTCATTACTATTGCATATTTTTGAAAAGGGGATTTTTATTTTCTTCTTCTTCTTCTTTTTATTTTTATTTTTTTTTCTTTTCGTTTAGTTATTGTATATACATTTTTGTGTGTATATGTGTGTGTGTGTGTTTATTTTTATAATTTTCTTTTTCAAAATGTTTTCCGTTAAACGACTAATTTTTACGCAATTTTTATCAATTTCGTACTTTCGCTTTTCGTTTTTCATTTTTCGTTTTTTTTTTGTTTTTTTTTTTGTTTTCGTTCTTTCGACAAACAATTGCAATTATTAGGAAAATAAAAATAGGAAAAGAACTTTTTGGTTCAGAATTTTTCACGGCTCGCTCGTGTGTGTGTGTGTGTGTTTTTTTTCTTTTTTATCTTTCTATTTTATTTTTATTTTTTATTTTTGTTTTGTTTCTATGTGTCGAAGATTAATAAAAATAATTCGCTCTTTTTTTTTTTTATATCGAAAAAAGCATATCACAGGGTGGTCTCGTTTTAAACCGTCTGTCGTGTCATTTTAAAAATCAATAATGATATACAATTAAAACACCATTTTGTTTATTCTCGTTTCATTATCATCCTCATCTTCATCTTCATCTTTTTCTTCTTCTTCTTCTTCTTCTTCTTGTGTTCATTCCTTACTTTTTCTTTTCTTTCTTCTTCCTTTTCTTTTATTTTTTTATTTTTTGTTTATTTTTCTTTTTCATTAGGTGATTTGAAAAGTCGTATTGTTTTTTGCTGACGTAATATAATGGCGCATTAGTTGATGCAAAACTGACAAATAATAACACATGAGATCGATGAGAGATTAAATTTATCAAATTCAACTATTTATGACCAGTCAAAAAATTTAGATTTAATCTCGAATATGGAGGGTAGAAGTAACCAATTGAGGTGGCGCCACATTAGCATCATGGTGAATTTTTAAAGAAAGCGCCAGATATTATTAGAATAGGATTGAGAAATAAACAATTACAATTATATTTACAATTGCTACATTCATACTATACCAAGTGTCTACACCAGCGCCATTCTGGAAGCTTTTTGAATTGTTATTGACAGAAAACGTTGGACACTTTTTTACATTTTCTCCCATAAGAGATGTTCGAAGCAACAATTATCTTCATTTTTATAAAAGAAAAACGAAAAATGACTTTTCAAACCACCTACTAATAAACCTTGCACAAAGATACGACGATAAATACGATTTATTTTTTTTTTCTGTAGTTTTTCTTTTTTTTATATATATATATACTTATACGTAAATAATATATTATATATTTTATTTACAAAAAAAAAATTTTTTACGATTACCTATGTAATAAATTATCCCGTTTTTTCCATCTCTTTTACTTCAATCATCTCAAATTTATACATTATCTTATTATTTTCATCTAATATAAATTCGAGAATATAATATGAAACTTTTCATCCCTTCATCCCCCTCCCCACTCTCTCTATTACTCTCTCTCTCTCTCACTCTCTCTCTCTCTCTCCATATATGGCATATATTTATGTAAACATATATATATATTTTATTTCTTTTGAATCCGCTCATCTATAATATTGTGTATATGTTTCTATATATATATATGTGTGTGTGTGTGTATGTATGTGTGTGAATATATATTTCCTCTTTTTTTTGTCTTCTTCTTCAAATTTTTATTTTTTTTATATTTATAAGTATATTAAAATAGTATACAAACATAATATTTCTACTACCATAAAACACTCTTTGTACTAATCCTCGATCCAACGGATATTTTTTTAAAGCCTGCAATTACAATATAATATATATGTGTGTGTGTGTGTGTGTGTTATGTATGAAATCAAACAGTTTCATAACAAATATATAAATACATATTCGTGGGTCAGTTGACTCTGAGCTCCGGATAGCTCAGTGGATAAAGTGATCATTTTTTATCTTAACAAGTAAAAAATCGTGGGTTCGAATCCCCCTAGGGGTAACAGATTTTTTTCAGTTCACAACAGTTCCAAATTATATCATTAATTTCCTACACACAATTAATATATATAATAAAAAAAAAGAAAGTATACTTTCTGTAATTCGAATTCTCAGTCGGTTTAAGAATCTCAACAAATAATACGCAAGGAACACCAGACAGAGGGTCAGAAGACACAACCAAGGACCTGTTGGGGATTATAAATAAAACTTTGTATATAAATAATCGGTTTATATTTATCTAAATATAATAATTATAATTATCTAATAACGATCAGACAGATAATATAAATTGTCGTTTAATTAAGACACAATGAGTTTTATAAATAAACCAAACTGTTGCCTATATAAAAAGAAACGACAAAATTTAGATTCTATGTATTCGCTATTAGATATAATATATCTTATCATCTAGATAATAAATATAACCGATTTATAAATATGCATAAGGTTCTTTATGTATACCACACAGTCTTTAAATTGTCTTCCTGATCTCCTCTCTCTGTTCTTGCGTTCGAATTAAACAAAGTATAGTATAATTTGCCCACATTAGGTTTTTAAACATGTCTAGTGTGTTATTAATAATAAAAACATAAAATTGTATATTTATTTATAAAACAAAAATTGCATGGACTTTTTATAAACGATCTAATTAACAATATATAGATTTTAGTCATTAAAATTGAAAACAATTATTTATATAATAAAATTGAATATACAATTCATTGTCATCATCATTCATCATCATATTTCCCATAAAAACTATCTTAAAATTTGCATTTAAACAAAATACGTCATTCAATTGTAATACTCTCGTCTATTTAATATACGCGTCACAATTTTATGGAACATTTACCGATAAAATAATTGAAAAGAAAAATATGTGTGTGTGTGTGTGTTCGAGATAACGAACGAAATTTTACAAAATTTTTACATTCTTTTAAATTATCGATGTTTAATAATATTGTCATAGTAATGGGGTTTTAAGATTATCCTCTTCGGATTGATGATCATAGGTTTAACAATTTTTTCGTTCAAATCATTTTCATTGAAAACCTTGCCACAGAAGGATACGAGTACACACATGCACGCACGCACATATCATACCCCAAGGTGTATTATGAACGATTTATTTGAAAAAGGGGTTTGCTTTTGAACTTCTTACATTTATCATAAAACAAAAGATATTTTTGTTTTGCATGTGCTTTTTCAATCAAAACAAAATGTAAAGAACAAAAAAACAACTATACTTCGTAGCTGTCAGATTGGTAACACTTGACAAAGAGTATAAACCCCTTTTTCTTTTTTACATTTTTTTTCTCTTGTTTTATTTTAATCGATTCGTTCTAGTAAAAACGCAAAATAACTTTCCTTTTAACATTTGATATTTGTTCTTCTCGGTTTGTCAGTCTTTCTTTACGAATATATATATATATATATATATGACATAGAATTTTTGAAAAAATATTTACGGATTTGATTGGACGATTAGTTGAGTATTTAGTATTATTGTTCAGAAATTGGCAGGAAATAATAATTGACATTGTCATCGTCGTCGTTGATTGAATTGTTGAATATTGGGAAAGACGTTGTTGTACCCGATTTAATTAATATTATTATTATTATTATTATTATTATTATTATTATTATTATTATTATTAATATTAAATATAATCTCTCAGAGGGTAATGTAACATTTATGTAACGATTAGGAACCCAAAATCAGTAAGTGACTTGTTGTTTTTAAAAATATAAACATTATTATTTTATATATAATAATCTAAAAGAGGATCAATAAAATATAGGTGACCAGTCTCTGTCCCTTTGTTTTTCTCTCGTAGCTATTGGTACATATTGTACTCTTGTTGATACGGGTAAACATTGAAAACAATAATTTTTGCCATCGTTGTTATCCCAAAATTGTGTACCCTTGCATTGAAAACGTACGGCAAATTCTAATCTCTGTCCAATCGTTAACGTGTGACAATAAAGTACGAATGAAAATTTGTCGCTAAAACCGTCGCACGAATTGGATATGTAAGTTGCTTGCAAATCACTGTAATTTTTCCACGAGTTCAATGTATATCTGATGTGTACAGATTTGTGAAAGTCTAAATTGAGAACTCTAACCGTACCTTGAATGCTTAAACTTATAGGATCCTGTACCAAAACATTTTCCAAACATACTTTACGTTCTCTGATGAGATCGAGAAAATTCGAAAGACCAGCGGGTTGTTGAAACAACGGTACCAATGTTCTATCAGCAATTCTAGGTACGGAGGAGCCACTACGATTGTCCCAACTCGTGGTAGACAAACTTAAATTCAACGGACTGTTTTCTTTTTGAAAACTATCGTCGTAAATCAAATCGTTATACGCGGAATTTGGTATCTTTGGTATCTCGTCTAAGAATGTTCGTACATCGGCAAGATCCAATCCTAAGACATCGGCAAATCTGACGATTTTTTTTCTACCAGGTGTACCAGGTGGAGTCTTGCCAGTTTTCAACGATGAACTACGCCTAATCCTTCGTGGTCTGCCATTTAATTGTTCTTCATCTTCCTCTTCTTCCTCTTCCTCTTCATCTTCCGTAGTAACCTTTCCCTTTCCTTCCCTTTTTCTAGTCCCAGTCTCAATCTGTTCATCCTCATTCTCTTCCTCTTTTTCTTTTCCTTCATCCAACCATTTTTTCTGTTTGCTTATTGAACTGTCATCTTGATTACTGCCGTTACATTTTTTATCTTTGTTAAGAAAATCACACGTTTTCTCGTTTACCTTATCGTCTAATACTGTTACATGATCAATTTGCAAAGTAACCTCGTTAATTGCTAAATTATCCGATTTTTCCGTCAGTCTTTTACCCGTGGTACATTCAACCATGAGTTCATCGTTTAGGTTTAACGTGCTAGCATAAATCGAGTGGTCAAACTCATCCCGTTCTATAATTTCCGGTATAGTTATGGAATCTTCTAAATCTGTTTCTAATTCGGTAGGACTACTGTCATCGTTAATAGTATCCGATAATTCCGTGCTAACGTTTGCAATAGGTTTGTTATCTTTGATAAAATCATTAGAAGAATCCGATTGTTCAATCGTATCAATGTTAATTCGTTCATTCGATACACTTGGAAAATCATTAACGTTGTATCCTTCATCATCATCATCATCATCATTATCATCATCATCATCATCATTATCATCATCATCATCATCCTCGTTTTTTTCAACAGTTAATGGTAACGTATTGGTCGCTGCAAATGTTCTGATCACGTTGTCCGGTATCTCGGAATCCGAATGAGATTTGATCAGACATTTGCGTAAATAATTGCAATTGTTTTTAGATGTGTTATCATCTTTCAGGGAAACCGTACTATCATCGTCAAACGTACTCCAAAGTGATTCGTGACTTGGTGACGTTGTCTCGCGCGAACTTCTACCGTTCAACGAATCTTCAGAACTGAAGGTAGTAGCATCTTTTACAGTGATTTTATTTTGACGAGTTTTATCGAAACGAAACCTATTCAAGGGTTTGTTTTTGTTCGATGATAAACTGGAATCCGATGAATCCTCGCGATAAATGATAGAAATATTTTCCAATGGTTTACTGGATGAAGAAAATTGTCCTTTTATCGTGGAAGAAACATCGTCCAAATTATTGGATATCAATTGTTCGCTTTCCGAACTTGTAACTGGATCGAAATAAACCTCGTTTTTGTTCTTTTCCACGTCTGATGATTCTGGATCGAAATAAATTTCAGATGATTCACTGACAGGTGAAGTACCACTTACCGGTGATACGTAAATACATTCCGATTCGGAATCTTGATCGATTCCTAATCTAGGACCGTTAGGTGAACAATGACAAGTATCATGATGATTGGTTTTAAGTATTTCCGTGTTAACCAATAAATCTGCCAATTCGGCAGCCGTAACTTCTTCACCGGGTGAACTGGGTTCCTGTTCGAAATCATCTAAATCATCATCGAAATCGTAGTAAAGCTCGTTGTTATCCGCTTGATGTCGCGGTTGTCGATGAAAGACTCGAGCACCGATTGGATTGTTAACAATGTTAGGGGCAACAGAATTGGTTGTTGTTTTTTCGCTAGGTCCGTGCAACCATGAAGCAACCTCGCGTGTTATCGGTTTTGTAATAACCGATGCACCAGCAACCGATGATGGGGTTTTGTAACTTTCCGAATTATCATCGGCGTTACCCAATGATGTAAGCCGTCGATGAAGACGTCTGGCAAATGCTTCAGCACGTCCACGACAACCACCGGAAAATATAGAACCAACCAATCCGCATGAACTGTCACCGTGACCACCTCGTCCTCTTCCATATTCGGTACCTGCCGTGTTTGTACTACTGCTCATCTCAAACGTTTTATCTTCTTCTATATTTTTACTCTTCGAACTATCACCGAATGTTGTTGTTGTTGTTGTTGTTATCGTTGGTGCTGTTGGTGTTTTATCGATGTTAATAGAGGATGAATCCTTGACCGAGCTCTCGTCCAAGTCCAATTGTGAACTTGAACTCGAACTCGAACTCCTAGACTCGTCCAACTCCTTTTGTTCCCGATTACCCGTATTGATCTGAAATATCAAATGTAATTGTCAGTATTAATCGTTCTATCGTTGAATCAATTGTTAAAGGGAAACAAAAGTTATTTGCGTTTATTCTTTTGAAAATTTCGATAGTTTGAAACTGTATAATGGATTGTGTACTTTTTGTGAAATTTAATTTGGAAATGTTAATGTTAAAAAAAAATCACGAACATTTGATCATTCAAATAATTGTAAATTACATTTAGGTTAATTCTAATATTAGATTAGGAATTAAAAAAGTTCGTGGATTTTTTTAAAACAATTCACTTGCATATAAAGTAATTTAATTGACTTCAAAAAAAAAAAGAAAAATTGCACATATCTGAAGTAACAAAATGAATTCGCGAATTGTTGTGATGCACCCTATATTTTAAATTAAATTTAGATTAACCCTAATATTAGGTTAGGAACCAAACAAGTTCGTGGGGTCTTTTATATTAACATTTCACTTGCATATAAAGTAATTTAATTGACTTCAAAAATGAAATTGCACGTTCTAAAGCAACAAAATAAAATTCACGAACATTTGATTATTCAAATAATTGTAAATTAAATTTAGGTTAACCCTATTATATATTAGAGTGAATCCCAAAAAAAAAAGGTTCATACATTTTTAATATCAACATTTCACTTGCAATAGAATAAGTGCACAAATTTTGGAATTAAACCTAACAATTATAAAATCCTTTTAACACTTGGCATGCGGGTATACTTGGCCGTCAATTTACGCGTGCAGCGGGCAATTTTTCATGAATCGCGCTGCAATTTGATCAAAAATTTCTTCTACCTTATTTTTTGAGTCTTCGTCGAATTATATACAACATATACATTGAAAAATGTACAATTCATCATTATATATATATATAACAAAACGCTTTATCCACTTCACTGTATTGTAATTATACGTTACCCAATTATCCACCATAAATCTATTAAATACGTATATTGACGTGATCCGCTCTCCAGTGACAGACTACGAGAAACGTAAAAATACGTTACCCGCATGCCAAGTTGTAAATCAACCATCATCGTCAAAATTTTACCTAAAACTTCGCATTTAGGGAAAAACAAAATGATCAAAAATAGAAAAAGATAAACAACGAAAACCTTCTTTAACGAGAAAGAAAGAAAGAAAGAGAGAGAGAGAGAGAGATTGATAGAGAGAGAGATAGAGAGAGAGAAAGAGACAGAAGAAAAAAAAAATTAAAACAAGCTGACTGTATTCGATACATAACGTCGACCACGAGAAAAGTGGAGCGGTATAAATACGTCTGGCTCTTAGTCAAGTACGCCTACATGCCGTACACGTGATTCGTACTTTTAAAATGTCTACGTAGTAGTCGTCGATGTAGTTGTCTTCTTAGTCGTCGTAGTTGTTGTCGTTGTCTGGCATGTCATAAATACCACCCAACCATTTGTTTTCAACATTTAACGGAATATTACTGTAAGAAAATATTTCACATTTTTTTTATAATAATAAAACGTATAAAAAAATGATCGTTTATATCAAATTAATAATAATAATAATCAATATTCATTTTCATTTTTTTACGATTAAGTTTTGCTGTTGTTTCAAATAGATTAGGACTTTAACCGGTATCTGTTAATGCAAATAAAACATTTCTCTCTGAGTGTGTTTGTCTCTCTCTCTCTCTCTCTCTCTCTCTCTGTTTCTCTTATGTTTAAAATTACGTCTTATCGATCATCATTGATGATTGAGCAAGGTTATTTAAGTATTATGTAAATTATACATAATATAATATAATATACATATATATGTATTTACGATACCGCGTATGTGTCTATTATGTATAATATATTCATTATTAAATATATTATAATATATAATATATATTATTAATTATTATAATTTATATTAAAAAGTTAATTTATATATTAAATAAACATATTATTTGTAATATAATAGTATTATACTATAGTATATTATATTGTACTGTATATATATAGTATAGAATATTATATTATTATATTAACATGATTTTTATATATACGATATATCGTGTATGTATGTAATGTATAATATATTTATTGTTTTATTATTTTATTATTTATTAAATATTATTTATATTAGTAGTAACTATATTATTATATTAATTTAATAATAATATGTATATATATGTGGGATTCGTGAAAAAAATTGAACCGCTGAACTGACTGGAACCGGGGGGACTCGAACCACGGATCTTTCGCTTTCCCGGGCGACTGCTCTTTTTAACCAATTGAGCTATCCAGGGCCCACCGACCAATCCTTCTCAGGAATGCCCAATAAGTTTGGCATGGAGGCGCTCGTCCCACATATATATATATATATATCGTTGGATAGGACGGGGTGGGCCCATTCATTTTCCGTCTAGATCACCAGATCTAACGCCCCTCAACTTTTTCTTATGGGGCTACTTAAAAAATCAAGTTTACGCTAAGCCTCCGACTACAATGGCCGATATGAGGGATCGTATCGTCAATGAATGTAAGAAAATAACATCACATACATTAAAAAACATTAATGAGTCATTAATTTCTCGATTTAGACAGTGTACTGATGCAAATGATCGTCGCCACATTGAACCTCTTTTTTGTAAATAGACGTAAAAATTAAAATACCTCCTAAAGTAATAATTTGTTTTTGTTTTTTTTTTTTTTACATAAATAGGTTATTACTTTTTTGTAAATACTATGAAGGAGCATCCCATGATGCAATAGAAAATATATGATTCCGTTTAAAAAAAACATTAATGACTTTCATGTATCCTTTACACGTCCACCTACAAAACAAAAAAAATGTATCATCAGTATGAACCCCCTTTCAAAGCCATTCAACTCCATTTGAAAAATTGTTTGCTACGCGTTATAATAATAATGTAATTCTAAATGGTAAAATGTTCTGACCCACCCTATATATATAATGAAAATCTATTTCAACATTTTATATATAAATCAATTTATTTCTACACGTAATATAATATATATATATATATATATATAGATATAGATATATAATATTATAAATTAAATTATAAATTTAATTATAATACTATAATATTTAATTATATATTAATTATATAATATATTAATTAATTATATATACAATTAAATAATATTATAATATTAAATGATATTATAAAATAATATATTTAATAAATATTATACATACATATAAATATAATATAATATCTAAAAAATATTATATATATTAACATATATAACATATCTAACTACATATATATATATTATAATATTATTTATTAATAATATAATATATATATATATATATATATTAACGTATATAATATATATAATTAACATAAATAATAACGTAATATTTATAATATAACATTATTAACGTTATAAATAATAACGTTATTATTTCTAATAATATATATATATATTAACAATGATATTAATGAAATAATTACGTTATATTATTAATAATTATTAAAATAATAATCATATTAAATAAATATTATCCGACAATGAAACAACGATTCTAACCTAACATCCTTCGTGATATGTGATACTATAATTAGTTATTCTATTTATTATCTTCTACACACAAACACTAATGATTTTTAAATAGTTCATTTATTTATGCTACACACAATAAATCGATCTATATATGTTATTATCTTATTTACCATAAATATCACACTGATGATTAGAAATTATTTGATAAAACCTTGAACTTGTTCATTTTGTTATTTGATAATAATTTAAAAAGACAAAAAGATCTTTATATATCTCGTTAAAATCATTCATTTCACTTGAACAAATTTTCTAACAAAAACTGTGTTTATGTAAATATTTTTATCCTGTAAATTATGTCAATATTTCTATCTTATATTTTATCTTGTTTTAATAAAATGTCCAATTAACTTTAACAATATATTAAATAAATAATATAAAATCACTTTTGTAAACTTGGAATTACAATAATAAGTTTATCAAATTTCAAAACAAATTACGTGAAATACTTTGCCAATGTCAAGTTTAACGATTCACTGATGTGAATCAAGTAAGGTAATAATAAATATATGTATATATATATATATGTATGTATGTATATATACATATATGTGTATACTTTGTTTGACGTATTACGAAGAGACTTAATGAAAATTCAAGGCGAGAGACTACAATTCGCATGAGAAGAAAAACAGTGCGCGTATGTATCATGCTAGTTTACAAACACATTTATACGATCACACACACACACACACACACACACACACGTGTAATCTTGTTAATATAATAAAAACGTACGTACACGTAGACACGCTAGTATAAGTATAATTAATTGTAAGTAAATAAAATTATGAATAATAATGTTTATAATTTTGTAGATATGTGAATATGTGAAAATTAATTATTAATTTTACAACGTATTGTTCATTCATTTCTTTCAATATTTTTAAACAATAATCTCCCGCCACACGTTACTGTGGCTCACAATCAGTCCGATACACACGTCCTTTAAGTCAACGAATTACCTTATACCGCCATCTGTTAGAATCTTATCAAAGTAACAGAGATAATCATGACTCTTTATTAATAAACACAATATAATTCGCAATAAAATAATATTGCGATTATAAATTGAGATATAAACTATTCTATATTTCAAGTTAGATGAAACTGCACACAGTGTGCAAAATTTGATTAAAATCGGTTCAGTAGTTTAAGAGTCCATTGCGAACAAACAACGTGACACGTAATTTATATATATTAAGATAAGATATAACTAATTAATTAAATTATATTTAATTTAAATAAAATTCAAACTTTGCACTCGGCAGATTTAGGTGACAACTCGGACGGCGCTGATACAGCGCCCGACAACTAATTTCAAATCTTTTGTTACTCTATCTGCTTATTTACGATCTGTGATAAGATATTTCTTTTAAGATATACTTAAAGATAATACTTAAAGGGTCGAAAAGGGACTGTAAGGTTTGCTCTGTTCGTAATACACCTGGAGGTAGGTCACAAGTAACATATTATTGAGATAGGTGTCCTGATAAACACCTAGGATGAATTTTGGGTATTGTTTTACAAAATATCATACAAAAACTAATTATAAAGTATAATGTTTCTCAAATTTTGTTGTTTTTTGATATAAAATCAAATAAATTGGTGAAATTTGATTATTTGTATACGTTAGTTTGTTTATAAATGACTTTAAAGTACATGTAAAATGTTTCTGCACTTGGTAAGGGCAAGCAAAAAAGGTCTCGAGTGCAAAGGGTTAAGATATTAAATTATAATTAAATTGAAATGAATTAATTATATTCAATTATATTTATATAATTAAGTATTTATATTTAAATATTAATTATATTTCAATTTTTAATATGATATATATATCATTAAATTTTATATTAATATGTACAATAATATAATATATTATTTTATTATTATTATTATATATATATAATTATTATTGTGTTTTTTAATTGAATAATTTAATTTTTAATATTATATATATATTATTAAATCATATTATTATTTTATTTATAAATTATTTAAATATTTAATTGAATATTAAGACTGTAAAAGAGTACGAAATGATTGCAACGTATAATTCATTCATTTTTCTTTGATATTTTTTAAACAATAAATCCACGTAATTTTACATTTATAAATATTACACACATTGGAATAATTACTCTCATTAAAATTTTATATCATTATAATAAAATAATAATATTATACTTTATTTATAAATTATTAAAATAATTTAATTGAGACTCGTGACAAGTGAATTATAAGATGTAGCTACCAATTGGGACTCGATCTGTCGATGCTGGTAATTGTAAAGGGAGACAGAAGTGGGTCTCTAACGCCTGAGCTATTCAGGAATTACTGATTGAAATATTTTATTGAATATTAAGCCCGTAGAAGTATGAAATGAATAAACCAAACCATTGATGAATAAATAAATAATTGTATCTTATCGATTATATATTCGAATATAAATTTATTCATAATTGAAGAGAGAAAGAAAGAAAGAAAGAAAGAAAAAATAAATAAATAATATAATAATAAATTTGTAATTTCAACAAAATGACGAAGAATGGAAAAAGCAACGATGAAGTCATGCAAATAACGAAACGTTATACTAATAATACTAGCGATTGTTACTCCCTAAGTAATCGTAATCGTAAAACAATACGTAAGGTTATCAGGGCTATTAACGCTTCACTTAGAACAACTACTGCAAATGAAAAAAGAAAGTAAAGAAAAGAAAAAAAGTAAGAAGTATAAAACATCGGCAAAGTATTTAAGAGAAGAAGAATAAGATGAACAAGAAGAAGAAGAAGAAGAAGAAGAAGAGTTTTCGATAAGATAAAATCTGAAAGAGAAAATAAATAAAAAGAAATAATATTGAAAACGAGACGAAGGGTTAAATGATACGCGTTTTAAAAATTCATCAAATCAATCATTATTTATAACAATGTAAAATAATAATTTAATAGAACTGTAAATAATTCAATAGTTAAATAATTTAAAGTTAGTTTAAATAGTAATTGAATTTTTCCAAACAACTTACTATTTTTCTTCTTATCAATTTACGTTATCTCGTGTCATGAATGGATTACATGTAAGACCAAAGTACACAAACATACACATACACACACACAAATAATAATAATAATAATAATTTTGTTTAATGAAAAACTTTTGTTTCATATACTTGACATTACTTACTTATAATTAAAAAAATAAATATATATATATATATATATTTCAAATTAATAATAAACGATAATAAATAATGAAAATGATAATCGTATAACAATTTATTATACATTCTTATCACTTAATTAACTTAACCAAACAATGATGCAATCATTCTGTTTCGAATCATTAGAATGTAACTAATCAAAATATAACACTACATAAAATATTTGTAACTGTATCTATAAACAAACAAACATACTTCAAATATACACACATATAAACACACACATACACACACTACTACTACTACTCGTGATCTTCTATCGAGCAATGTGCAACGTTGTTACGCAAAAAGGAAAAAAACCCGGAAGAAAAGTCAAGTGAGTATTTAAGCAACTAACATTGCTATATTCCTCCTCCTCCTCCTCCTCCTCCTCCTCCTATCTATCTATCTATCTATCTATACTTATACAAGTTAACTGTATATATATATATAATTAATTTCTAAAAATGATTTGCCCTTTCGTTTGAGAAGAAGGAAGAGAAATAAAACTGGCGTAAGCGCACCTGTCGAATGTGCAATGGCACTCTCTGCCGTTTTAAAGTGTCTCCTCTCTCTCTCTGTCTCTCTCTCTTTTTCTTTTTCTTTCTCACACTATCAGAAAGAGAAAGAACGTATATGTAAGATATATAACACGAGTACTAACGTACTAACGAACGAACGAACGAACGAACGAACTAACCAACGATGAGTAGTTGAAGACAAAAGTAGAGAAGAAGATCTTCTTCTTTACTTCTTTCTCTCTTTACTTCTCCTCGTTGGCTGATTGTGAGACGCAAATAGAATCTTTCTTCAGGCTCGCGAAATGCTACGTACAAAATACACACGTACACATACATATACGCATATGCACATACATAACTCGACGAAATATGATGATGAGGAAAGCTCTACAAGTTTTGGCGTTCACCTCATGCAAACACAGCCCCACACACACACACACACACACACACACAACACGGATATATACGAAAATTGAAAGATCGCGATTTATTAATAATTATTCTTAATGATAATATAAGTATAATATTTACATGAAATATTTCAAGTAAATTAAATATCTCGTATTGGAGAGAATAATAATGAAAAAAAGAAAAAAAAAGTAATGGGAGATTATAAAAGAAGCAAGGTTAAAGAGCAAACACAACCGAGAGAGAGGAAGAGAAAGAAGAGAGAGAGAAAGATTTTTCCTTTCGGTGTCAAGGCATTTAAAGAAAAAATCGCAATTTTATCTTTTGGCCGCCAACAACCGAGAGTGCATCGTCAATCATCAACGACGCGACCTTCGGGAGGGTTCACGGTGAAATATTCATTCATTGGGCGGAGTTGAAATACAAATGTTGGAGGGGATATTCGAATGAAATATTTTTTCATTATATACAGATTATAATAATTAATAATTAATTTATTATTACAGGTTCAATATTTAATTATGCAAATAACTGGTTAAGCATTTTTTTTTTAATTATAATTCATATGCAGCACATGGTAGAATTATTCGTGAAAAAACTGGGGGAGAAGAAGATTGAGGGAGATTTGAAAACCCAGAATAATTCTTTTATACAGTATTATATAATAATTAATAATTACAGGTTCAAATTTAATTATGTAAATATTTAATTAGAGAATTTATGCATTGAAGGATTTATTATTCTTGAAAAAACTGGAACCTAATGGAAGAAATTGGAATATTGAGAAGATTGTGGTGGGGGGATTTTAAAACCCAAAATTATTTTTTTTACAGATTATATAATATAATTATATAATTTTTAATTATTACAGGTTCAAATTTAATTATGTAAATATTTGGTTAAAATTAATGCATTGATGGGATTAATTAAGAAAAAACTGGAACCTGCTGGACTTGAAAAAAACTTAGGAATGGGGGGATTTGAACCTACGATCTTTCAATTTCCAAGCAACTGCTCTACCAATTACGCTATCGATGACAACTGGTCAAGTTTTTTGAACGAATAGCTATTTATGTATTTGGCATGAAAACACTCAATTTCATATTATTTATAATCATTAATATATTATATAATTTTATCTGAAAATTAATTTTACAAACCAAAGGTCTTAAAACACGTAAGTAAGTAAATAAATAAATAAATAAATATTATATTATATTTAATATAATTAATAATAAATATTGTTTAATAAAATTTGAAATAAAATGTTTAAAATAAAAAAAAAAAAAGAAAATGGTCGACAGACGTAGAGAAAAATGAACCGATGTATTTTTATCCTCCCACCTTTTCATTTCCGCCCCATCCCCCCTCTCCCAATCGAGACTTCGAACTTTCATTGGTGTATATTTAGAAACTTGATCGCATACAGGGTCGACTTAAGAAAGAGAAAGAGAAAGAAGAGGAAGAAGAAGAAGAAGAAGACAAATTACCGTCATACTATGTCCGTTCAATTTTCCCGACTCGAAGATACTCGAATTTTCTTCCATCGTAGGCGCTAAGATCATTTTCCCCCTCTTTTTCTGAGTTGAATAATATGCGTTTAAAGTCAAAGAAGAGCAGGAGGAGCACCTTTGATTGGTTGATTGCTTGCTTACTTGCTTTGCTATTTTTTTGTTTCCTTCACATTGAATTTTGGTCCACAATGTTCTTCTGTTCCTCTTGCCAAGCTTATTTTTAATATCTCGTAAAATCCCCCAATTGTAGGAGAAATTTCATTGCGCGGAAAAAAAATTCAATGAATACAAAAAAAAAGACAATAATGGAGAACAAAATAATTTCCTTATTGGTAATTTAAGTTTTTTTTTTGTTTTTTTTTTTTTTTGCACGATGAGAGATACTCGTGTAATTGATAAACTCCGAACGAACGGGGAAATAAAATAAAAATACACCGAGTTTATCGGATAGATTGTAAATAAAAGAAAGAAAGAAAGAAAGGAAAGGAATAGAAAAAAAAAACATTCAAGAAAATAAAAATCAACGAGAAATCATAGTACTTGTCATCCAATCCGGACCACGTCACAGTTACTGTCACCGTCACCGTCACCGTCACCGTCACACTTTCGATCATGTACAAATTTTTCGTACACCGATATTACCGAGAGTTCATTGACATTCAGTACAACAATCCTGTCGGATCCATCAATTCATCAAAAAATCTATAAACAAATTTCAATCAAAATAATCTTACTATCTTTCAATAAATTCATCGTCACCGAGATGAATGAACAATTAATCCAATCAATGAAATAATTTCTCTTTAATAAGTCAATTATCTTTAATTAAATTTAATTAAAGATTAACAAAACCTACCCACCCACCACTATCATCATCGTCATCGTCATAGTCATTTTCATCGTCATCATAAAAAAACAACAAAAAATGAAGTACTATGATTAGAGTACTACGAAAATTTGGAATTCCAACGAAAACAAAACAACAACAAAAATTAAAACAAATGACGAAACAAAAGTAATAACAAGTATTGCAATTTTTGGGCTCGTGGAGGAGGTGGGAAAGTTGGTGGGTGGGAAGGGGGGAAAAAGCACGTAACGTTCACGAACGAGAAAACAGAAAAGGGGCCAGCACGACCGGCCGGTTCACGCATACTGACTTCTGACTGGTCGAACTAGTAGGTGACTCGAAAAGCCCCTTCCATATCGCATAGCAACCGCACGTAAGCCTCGCGACTGATAACCGCTTGCACTCACTCGACCGGAGTCAGCGGATCTGCTGAGACGTGTAAATATCTTTTGCCTCTGATGCCTCCATCTCATCTTCAAAGATGTTCAATTAACCAATAACAATGAAAACAAAAACAAACGAGAAAGAAGAGGGAACATGAACTGAACAATTTTTTTCCGAATGTTTTAACCCAATTTGTCAACTTAAGGACAAATATTTTCTTCAAAATACTTTAACTTATCATTAGGCAATTTACATTAATAATTAATAAATAAAATTGTAATATATTTTAAAAGATGTTATCCGCGAAAGCCACTATAGTGGTGCATCGTACTAGAAGATGTTATCCACGAAAACCACTGTAGTGGCGCGACGTATTGCAAGATGACATTAGCGAAAACCACTATAGTGGTGCATGGTACTGGAAGATGGCATTTGTGAAAGCCACCATAATGGCGCGTCGTACTGGAAGATAGCATCTGCAAAAGCCACTGTAGTAGCGCATCGTACTAGAAGATAACATTAGCGAAAACCACTGTAGTAGTGCATCGTACTAGAAAATGACATTAGCGAAAACCACTATAGTGGTGCGTCGTACTGGAAGATGGCATTTGTAAAAGCCACCATAATGACGCGTCGTACTGGAAGATGTTATCCGCGAAAGCCACTGTAATAGCGCATCGTACCAGAAGATAGCATCTGCAAAAGCCACTGTAGTAGCGCATCGTATTAGAAAATGACATTAGCGAAAACCACTATAGTGGCGCAACGTACTTGAAGATGGCATTTGTGAAAGCCACTGTAGTGGCGTATCGTACTGGAAGATGTTATCCACAAAAGCCACTGTAGTGGCGCATCTTACTGGAAGATGTTATTCACGAAAGCCACTGTAGTAGCGCATCGTACTGGAAGATGACATTAGCGAAAACCACTATAGTGGTGCGTCGTACTGGAAGATGGCATTCGTGAAAGTCACTAAAGTGGCGCATAGTACCTAAAAGGTTAAACTATAGTATAACTTTATCCTAGTGAATCCAAACTCGTACGTTTATTGTACCAAAAATTTTAACTTTGAAATTGCATAACTGATGGTTTTTTTATTCTTTTTTTTTTAAATACCAAAATTTTAATTATTTATATAAATATATATATATTCAATATAATATATTTAATATAAATATAATTATATATTAAATTTCATATTTAATTATTACCAAAAATTTATTTTAGTAATATTAGAGTGAAGGTGAACCTAATGTCCGCGTTGTAGTCCGCGAAGTTATCCTTTCGTGGATAACATCTTCTAGTATGATACGCCACTTTAGTGGCTTTCGTGGATAACATCTTTTAAAATATAGTATATACCTATATTTTTATTTATTAATTATTAAAGTAAAAGTTTGTGAGGTGTATTTTCTTTTCTCTTTTCTTTTTTTCTTTTTTTTTAATTAATATTTTCAAAGTAAATTTTTACATTAAAAAACAAAGCAATCGGTTATATGTTGTTTCAATTAAATTCGATGAAAATTTAATGCGATAAAAAAGCACAAACTTTTTATTCGTTTTATCCTAAGTAGTTAGCAAGGAATAATTTTACCAACTACACCAAGCGAGGACTACGTTGCTGAACTTACTTGGGTTGGGTTCGTGTGACGATTGACCATAATTCACAATTAACGTTAACCGAGTCCATTGTTCCGTTTCGAAATACTTTCGAATAAAATTGTTCACCTCCTTGTTTTTTTTTTCTTTCTTTCTTTTTTTTTGCGAGCGTTAAAAAATTCTCTCTTCTTTATTTTTATTTTTATTTTTAATTTTTATTTTCTCGTAAGATGTACAGGATGTATCAAAGTCAACACGATGAGTATTGATAAATAATATGATTATGGTTGGGGAAGGGAGAGGGGAGGGGGAGAGAAGACGTGGGGAGAGGAGGGGGTAACTATTTAAATTCGATACTATCGAGTATTGAAGAAATTTAATTGACACTAACGATGAATGAAATATTAATACAACCACGCGATAATAATTATTAAATATTAAATTGATACTATAGAGTGAACAATGACGTCACTAATCTGTGTACGTTTCATACTTGAATACTCTTATTATATATATATATATGTGTGTGTATGTGTGTGTAAGTAAGATCAATTAGATTTTAAACAAAGACACATATTTTTAAATCCTAATGTTCATTCGAGAAATACAAGTGGGAGAAAGTAGATACAAAAAATAGAAACAAGACATTTGCAAAATTATATATACATACATATATATATATATATATGTTCTGTTTTACGACGAGGATCTGTAATAGTGATTGAAATAGCTCAAAAATAACCTATACTGGATGGCGCAAAGTCAAGAATTTTCGCGACGGGTTTAAAGTGCGCGCGCAATTTCAAATAAAATCATCCTCGCATTAGATTTAAGCTTGTTTTATGTTTTTAATTTTGTTAATTGTTTAGTTTGATTTGATTTTATTTCACATTAATAGCAACGAAAATCTTCTATTATTATTATTATTATTATTATTATTATTATTATTATAAACAATTGTAAAAAAAATTAACAAATAAATAAGGATAATAATCATTGAATAAATTAATAGTAATTTGTATTGATTTTTGTTATTTTGTAAAATTGAAAAAGAGACAAGAAAAATTACTGTCATCGTTTAAAAAAAAAAAAAAAAAAAAAAAAAAAAAAAAAAATAGTTAAATTTTTTATCGTACGTCTTGTTATCAATGATTTATTTATTTTAAAAGATAAAAACAAAAATAGAAAAGAAAGAGGAAAGAGAAAAGAGGAAAGAGAGAGAGAGAGAGAGAACAGAAATAAAATAAAAAAAGATAAAAAATGATTTGACTCGTTTGACATCCCCGCCGAATAGCACGTAGTACGGCAAATCCATTGGAAAAGGTCATGCGAGAAGGTCAAAGGTAAATGCAATGAAAAGTATACGTCACAACTATAACTCACCGATTTTTTAGATCAGTATATTCCTTTTTAAATATATCCCTGTTCTTTCGTAGACTAGTATCACGTAATTGTTGATTAAGAAAAATGCGTTGTTGTTGTTGTTCTTCTGCTTCTTCTGCTTGTTCTTCTACTTCGATAAAATTTGAATGTAACTGCACTGAACTGCGCTGTCTATCAACGCACAGCGCCGTACGCACGGCGCCGTTTACTTTGCCCGCCACTGCACCGCACTGGGACCGCACTGGGACCGCACCGCACTGGCACCGCACCGTAGCGCACCGCACAATTTCTATATTATTATTTCTTTCCTTTTTTATTTATTTTTTGTTTTGTCACCCCCTTTCACTTAATTCTGCCAATTAAAACTTGTTCTCTTAAATCTCTCACCAAATGTTATTATCTTTATCTATCGTAATTTCTTTTTTTTTGTTTTTATTTTGCCAGAGATAAATTATTAAAACAAAAACAAAAAAATGAGAAATTGACGAAAAAAATTATCTTCGTTTATGAATTAAACGTGTGCGTGGGCGCATCTTTTTTTCTTCATTTGTATCTTTTCAACAGATTAAATATCAATTAGAAAAAATATCTTACGTACAAGGGATATAGGAGGAGACGGTGTAAGAGTGTTAGAGGACAGAGTAATGAAAAGATTTGATGAGAGATAAAAGAGAGAATGAGAAAAAATAATAAATGATAAAGGAAAAATAGGATAAACGTCGTCGACGTCGTCGTTGCAGCAGCCAACAGCACCACCACGTTTAAGTGCGTCGCTCGGGAAAATGATGAATACGAGGAGTATCACTCGTATGGCATACAACCGGTGGGACAAGGGCGACGAAGGTCGCAGCTGCGCGTGGCGTTCGCGTCACGCAAATGCGTCCTCTTCCTATCCTGTTGAAAGTAAGAAAGAGAAAAAAAACACAAGAAATATATAGTAAACAAAAAAAAATTACAAACAAACAAAACATTCGCGAGTTAATAAAATTTGTCGATGCAAATGACAAATAAACATTGTCTTGATACAATTATAAAATATTCATTTGATATACAATTGATTTGTAAATAACAACGATCGTTGAAAGTTTTGGTTAATAAAGTTATATGAAAATTCGAAATGGTCACGCGTTTGCGCTTGCAATTATCGACTGATATCGAAGGCTAAGGGGAGCAAGTAATAATCGATCGGTCACATGACGTCGATACGCTCAAATCTTACTTTTATTATTTTTACATTTATTTATTTTTTGTTTTTTTTTTTTTTTTAAATACGATTATACGTTATCGCCGATAACTTTCAATCCGTTATATTGCGTTTATATTTTTTTTCTTCTACTTTTTCTTTTTTCTTTACTTGAGAAAATGAACACGAACGCGCGTATTGAAAAAATAATTTCATCAGAAAAATTTCGTACGTTAGTTTAGTGAGTATAAAATGTTATGGTAGGTGGTGACGATTGGAACAATGTACGATCCTGAAATGTACGGACCAATCAGTGCAAAACATTGGTACCAGAAGCGCACCACCAGAGGCGCTTGCAGCAATAAATGACGGCGCTTCCTTCGTGCGTGGTGCTTGTTACGTCACTTAGGGGAGCCCGTGTCGCAGATTATGCCGCATTGCCACGAGTAGCCTAAGCTCTCGTCGAACTATATCTTCTCTCCTTCTTTATCTTAATCTTTGTCTTTCTCTCACTCGTTCTCATCCTTTATATATATATATATATATATATATTTCTATCTATCTAATCACTCTATCTGTTTCTATCTTTTTCTTTAATTCTCCCACGCTTACTACTGGTTGTACTAAACGGAAGGGGGTAAATTCGTTGGTGGAAGAGGAAAGAAAGAAAAACATTAAAAAGAACAAAACAAAAAGAAAATAATACGCGCGAGTTAGATAGCACTGGCGGACAAAGTTAGTTAGTTTATAAAAAGAAGAGATCATCATCATCATCATCATCATCATTGATGCAAAAAATAACTCGCGATATGATACGACATGACGGCAAAAATTATAACGATTGATAAAACGATAAGGTTTAATAAATTTGCCGAACTACTGAAAGGTTCTTGCAGTTGTTGTTGTTGCTGCTGCTGCTGCTGGTGGTGGTGGTGGTGGTTGTGCTGGTGTTGGTGGTGTTATACTGAATTAATTCTTCCAGAACGAAGTAACATAATTGTTCGTTCTTGATAATAATAAAAACAAAATAATTGTTATAATTATAATAATATATATATAAAAAAAAAAGGGTTCAAAATGAACATTCGAAGGTTGCCCGGTTTCTTCTATCACTATAAAATGTTTGGTGGTCTTTTAGTATCGTTATTCCTCTTTGTTATCTATCTTCTATTTCACTGGGGTATAATGTGCACGAACTTAGAAGCTTGGCGACACGTTATCAGCGTGGTAAGTTGTTTTCCAAAATATTTTCTTTCAAAAAATATTTCATTGAAGACAAATTCTATCCAATTATTACGAACAAAAATGACCGATGACAAATAACAACAAAATGATAAACAACAAGAGTTGATCTCATCATCGTTGTCATTTAATTTTCTTAGGTTTTTTTTTCTTCTTATTCTTCTTCTTCTTATGATTATTATTATTATTCTACATTCTTATTACTTTGTACAGTAAATCGCGTGTTATTATTTGTTCTCAGTGTACTATTTTTATTTTCTTCAACACGTATAAAAATACATAGAAATGATGAATCTGGATTAGCGCGAATTTCGAGAACGGATGGTAGAATACCGGTGAAAGGGGGGGGATGGATCGAAAGAACGGACTATGCGCCAAAGACGATCAACCAATACGCAAGCGCCTTTCCAAATGTTCCCCTATTACGCAGAACTGAACCACATTTCATAAGGGGATGAAAGAACTCTGAAGAACATTAATTTATTACGAAGTAAATTGGAACACGGTTTTTTTTTTTTTACATATTTTTCGACTAAAAGTTAATGTCATTTATTTCTTAGGTTATTTTAGATTTGTTTTTTTTTCTTTGATATGTTGTGTAATTTATTATTCAATTATTTATTTCTTCGTTTAATTATTGTCCATTAGTATCATATTTATAATAAATAATAAATATAATCTTCTTCTTTCTTTTTAATATGTACAAATTACGTGTCACGTTGTTTGTTCGCAATTAACTTTTAAACTACTGAACCGATTTTAATCAAATTTTGCACACTGTATGCAATTTCATCCAACTCGAAAGATAGGATAGTTTATATCTCAATTTATAATCGCAATATTATTTTATTAATCGCAAATTATTTGTTTATTAACAAAGAGTCATGATTATCCAACGCGTGGCGAGGCACCCCTAGTAAAATATATAAATAAATAATAAAATATAAATATACAATAAATAATAAATATAATTAGTTATATAATTTATTATTTATAATTTTTATTATTTATATAATTTTTTTTATCTTTTATTTATAGTTATTTATATAACGCATACATTGTACACACTTTTTTATCGCATTTTTTTATAAATTAAAGTACGCAAGATCATTTGACATCACGTGGTTGGGATTAAGTGTTAAAAAATAATTAACACTAATGGACAATAATTTTTCTAATGGTGTATAAGCTTATATAGATGCTAATAGGACTACTGATTTCAAGGATATTAAATAATAAAAAAAAAAAACATTGAAAAACAAACATTTTAAAGATTTTTAAAAATAACATATAATATTTTCATTTTTATTGATCACCTAATCAGAAAATCATTTTAAATAATTGTATTTTGAATAAAATACAAACATTTGTTTTACGTTGTATAAATTTTGTTCTACTGTAACGATTACCTTTCTTTTTTTTCTTTTTTTTTTTTTTTTGAATCTTTTCACAATTACTTTTTTTTCTAAATCAAATCCCTTCATTGATCGTGATAACAAATGATAAATTTTTATTCGATATTATATTAACAAGATATAAAACAAAATAATATTGTTTCAAGTATTTATACGTGAAATTTCGTTATTGAAATAATTTCAATTCAAATTCGAATTAGAACGATTTTCTTATTGAATTATTTTCATGTTCACATTTGTATTTTTATTTTTCATTATTTTTCTTCATAACGGTATTTGCATAATCTTTAACATTTTCCAATAGAAACGACAGTTTCTGTTTTATATCATAGTTATTCGCATGCAACGTCATCGTGATAACTATTATTCAAATGTTATGATACGACATTAAATAGAAGAAGAAGAAGAAGAAGAAGAAGAAAGATAGAGAGAAAAAAAAAAACAAGACATTTTTTACATAATGAAACTTCTCTTTACGTATAGCACGCTAGAATTTTCAATTATAATCCTAATTATAATAATTAAATGTAAAAAATGTAAATGAAAAAAAAAAAAGAAGAAGAAGAAGAAGAAGAATATAAATTATTGATACAATTTACAGTGTAGAACACACAATGATGGTACGGCTATGGGAATTTTATGTCAACCACTTTGCACCGAAAAGGGCATACATTCTTTGGCATGTGAAACATTGCATACAGGCAAGGAAGCTGTATTTTCTGCACACTGGGAAGCTACAAGACTCGTATTTAAAGCTTACAGGTTTTATTTGTTAATATAAATATTTTATAAATATTGTTTTATTTTATTTGTAAATATATTATTATGTTAATTAACACTAGATATACCAGACCAATCATTTTGACTAGTCGACCATTTTAATTCCAAATTTCTACTTCATGTAACATTTGATTTTTGCAATACATTATTAATATTATAATTTGTAGAACTAAAACAACATCGGAAGAATACGAGTCATTATTTTGGATCGATGCTTTCGATGCTAAACATTTTCCAACTGAAGAAGATTTTGGAACTATGATAAAGGATCTAGTTATTAATAAATTAAATTACACTGTAACTACGCAACAAATGCAAAGATTAGCACGTTTGAGAACACACAAGATTGAGGTTGATACTAAACGACGTCAATTGGAAATGGAAAACGTTTGGCCACTTTTACAGGAAAACGAATATTTAATAACAATTTTATTCGAAGATCGTGACGTATTTCCGCAATTAATTGGCACCTGTGGAACATTTTATGCAGTTGAATACGTAAGGTAAAAGATTTATCATACATAGAATTAAATTCAATTTTCTTAATTAACCTTAAGCTGGTTAATTATCATTCACAAATTTCATTAAATATTTACCCCACGTTGTAGATATATACAGGGTAATTCAGCAGCTTCATACTTTCGAAGCTGTTTAGATGGCCACAGCTGGTGAATCACCCTGTATATAATTTATTTATTTATTTTCTTTTTTTTAAATACACTACTATACTTATTGGGATCTCTAGCACTTGAATACGCTATCTGGTGGCTAAATTAAAAATTAGAATAGATAGGTCGAATTGCTAAGCCACGTCCCCCTCCTTGCCAGAGATCCCAATAGAACAATGCTTTAGGATCAAATCGCGCACAGCTAGTATTAGAACAACAAGTGCATGTTTTATTTTTCATATTATGCTTATGAAACTTTATTTCAAAATTTATTATCGTCTCGGGTTCGATAAAAATAAAAAAAAAAAAGAATACCGTTAACTGTCTCTTATTAAAATATAGCTTTAGACTTAAATCGAGATTTAATTAACAATAAGAGAGAACAAATAATTTGGTAAGTTTAAGAGGGTTTTTTTTAGGTATTGTGCTAAATCCCCTAGATTATATTACATAGTATGAACAATAAAAATATGACCTAATTGATAGGAAAACAATATATGTCGTTACATGTACTATACGACACCGCGTCATTGATACTAACCAAAGTGACATGGTAATTCTTGGTAGGACGACTTCTCAACGTAACAAAAAAACAAATATAAAAGAAAAATATAATAAAATCAAATCAAAAAATAACCACACATTCGTCCAAGACCGTGTGTTGTCTTCTTCTCGGTATCAACACCGGTACCTACTACTACTACTACTACTATTACTGCTACTACTACTACTACGTCGTAAACCTACTTGATCACGAATTATCATATCAATTTCGGATGGCATTAATGACATTTTTCCGATCGTTTAGACATTAAATGACAGACGCGAGACTGAGGTTAGATCGCTAACGTCAGACCTATAGAAACACCTACGACGGCATTGGCACTATCCGACTCTAAACCAGAATGGGCCAAGAGATTGAAGTTAGCCGTCATGATCATGGATCTACTTGAAGAACTTGAGACCAATTTTCCCGAACCATTTTATCTATGTGACGTCAAGATAAATCATTTCGGATTACCCCTCGGTGGACAAAAACTCAAGTTTCTGGATTTGGACGCTGTATTTCCTAAAACCATAATTGGACGTATCACGGCTGATGGGAAACCCTGCAAGGGACATGAGGATTGTGATTTTTTCGATTGCAGATCGGTCTGTTCGAAAAATCATAGATGCGAATCACCGGTTGTCAATAATAATTTACAGGTAGAAAAACTGTAATGAATAAAAACACATTTATATCTAAAAAAATTATCTTTTAACATTAGATTTACGGATGTTTTGTTTATTATCATTTTTTAAACATTGTTTGAATGAAGGATTGAGTAAGGGGATAGGAATTATTATATTAAATTATTAATTATTATTATATTTAAGTTTCATATCTTATCTTAATATATATATATATAAATTACGTGTCACGTTGTTTGTCCGCAATGGACTCCTAAACTACTGAACCGATTTTAATAAAACTTAGCACAATGTGTTCAGTTTCATCCAACTTGAAAGATAAGATAGTTTATATCTCAATTTATAATCGCAATATTATTTTAATGCGAATTATTTGTGATTATCTCTGTTAGTTCGATAAGATTCTAACAGATGGTGGTATAAGGTAATTCGTTAACTTAAAGGACGTGTGTATCGGACTGATTGTGAGCTACAGCAACGCGTGGTAGGGCACCCCTAGTATATTATATGTAACAAAAAAAATTTGAAAGGAGTCAACTTGACTCAGTCCGTAAATCTAGTGTTAAATATAATACCTAATGTTACTATATCTAGTGTATAATATATAACATAACATTAAAGCATTGAACCAAAATATGTTCGTGAGTTTATTGTGTTTACAAATTATTGTTAACTGCATAATAAATTGTTTTTTTATTTTTATTAATAATATAAAAAATTTCATTAAACATTTTTGGTTCACACTGTGATATATATATATATATGATAATTCAAATGTTATTTTTACTGTTTTTTTTTCTAGATCATATGCGAGAAAATTTTTCTCGGTTGGACCTTATCAGGAACCATAATTTTACCTGGTTTATTGATGTCAGAACATACAACTAGTTCACTAGCTGTTCTATTAAGACAGTGTGCTAATCCAGCTGGTGATACTGCACATTTGCCACGTGCATCTGTTCCGGATAATTTGAAGATAAGATTGTACAATACATTGAGCGATATGGAACAAGAAGTATCTGCTTCCTTATGAAAGACACAACTTAAGAATGAAAACAAACGTCCTCTGTTAAATAATAAGTCACGCACATATTACTTTCCCTTTCTCCTAGCACCCACCCCCAACCTCATTTCTTTTCTAACATATATATATAGAGAGAGAGAGATATATATATATATATAATGTTGATATATGACTCAACGATAAATTGAAGAAGAACAGAAAATCAATGATTCTAGAATGATTATATCTAACATAGATACTTACGTGCTTAGGTTAATCGCCTAACTATTTCTATTACTAGCATGTTCAAATGTAACAAACATGTTTCAGGTCTATTATGCGTAGAACGTTTATTGACCCTTGTGTAAAGAAGAGTTTGACCTTGACAAAATAATTATCCAATTACTTTTTCATTTTGTATTTATTTTTTTAAATAATTTATTCAATCATTCTCTTGTTTTCTTCTTATTCAACTATTTCCTGCGGCCTAACAAAACTTAACATAGACACATGACGAATCTCTTTTATGTCTCCCTCTTTTTTTACCTGAACAAGTTTTATAGGTGTCATATTTTTCATCTGAAAAAGCCAAATATTAGAAATATTCATTTATTACTCATACACAAATGCATTTAATCTTTCAACAATGAGCTTATGGAGAATGATCGATACTTTAAATGTAATCTAATCTTTTTGTTGGGGGTGTCCTCTCATGTTACACTTGGGTTAATAAACTTTAGCAGGCAGATAATAATAATAATAATAATAATAATCTTAAAAGTAATTCACACAGGGGTGGGTTTAGGAGAGTATAATGAAAGGGATGTAATAATTGTAGAAAATCTTTCAATTGTAATTAACAATTATGGAAAAAACGGCACTAATTCTAAATTATTTATAATAATACTATTTGAAGGACCATCACACATCTATTAAAAAAAAACAAACAAACAAAAACGTTAATTGTAAAAACGTTTACTTCCACTATTTTTCTTCAAATAATTATATCATTAAATACCTGTTTCTCGAAACGTGTTGTTGTTTATCTTTTTATTGAATACCACTCATTGATACACGTGAATTATTTTCAACTAATAAAACACTTAATATCGTTATTATTTAATTATAATTAATAATAAACGCGAAACACACGTAATTCTAACGATTTTTCATCCATCTTTCTTCACTTTCTATTTAAATTAACAATTAGATTTTTCCCGCTAGAGATGGCGCTGAGTTAGTCCGTCATTATTGGTGGGAAATTTGAAAGCATTTTAAACAAATGTAATAATCGTAATTGTTCTTTTGTTTTTTTTTTTAAACAAATAAAAGAATATTATAATCGTTTAAATATAATGATATTACGTCATTTCGATCCATTATTTTAATTATAATATTTCTTGTTGTATAAAAAAATGTAATAACAGGTTATACTTTATAATTGTTCTCATCTGTTTTTTCTTTTTTTTTTAAGAAAAATAAATAAAAAAGAGAAGAATATTATATGATTGTTTAAATATAACGATATTATTGCATATTTCAAACTATTGTTTTAATTATGACATTTCTTGTCTTATGAGAAAATGTAATAAGAGGTTATATTTATTTTACTTTACTTTACTTTCATAACCTATATTTTAACACCTGTCTTATGGTTGTATCACTTAGACATAACAATAATAAAATATTTATATATAAAATTGATCATGGAAGAAAAAGATTCGACGTGTAGATATTTTGTAAAACGAAAAAATCGATATTGTCGTATGACCGTTAAAAAAGGTAACAAATTTTGTGGAGAACATCAACAGAATTCAATCAATTCCAACGATATAGAAATTAGTGAAAATTGTAAGAAAAGGATACAATGTCCTCTTGATCCTACTCAGTATGTTTTATTAATTATATAATCACAGATAATGCAATAAGAAATTCATTAATTATTATTATTATTTCTGTTTTTCTTTAGTATTAACTTATTGTTTATTTTCAGTACATGTTATCAATCAAAGTTGGCTAAACATTTGACAATATGCAATGCCCGAAAGATATTAGACTCTCAACCAGCATATATAATTAAAAATATTAATGTAGATAAAGAAACGGAAGAAATACCAAGACTTTTACCACTTTCTCAACTTGATGTTTCCATTATAAATGATATAATATTAAGAATTAACGAAGCTTATGGTATAAAATGTTTATACATATTTATATGTGTAATATAATGCTATAATTAATTTATACATTTAATTACATTATATTACTAAATTTATAGAAAAATTAACTGAAATTCCAAATGCAGTATTACACCATGATATATTAACAAATACATTGAATGTTTCATCATGTGGTAAATATGGTAAAAAACATTTAACACAAAATTCATCATTACTGGCACATTTGGATAAAGCTAAACTTGTAAATGATAATACTTGTTACATTGAATTTGGTGCTGGAAAAGGTATAATTTTTGTTAACGTTAAGAAAATTTCAATATAGATTGTTTCAATTAAAGATTAATATGATTTATTTGATTAATAGGTGATTTAACTTACTGGTTAGCACAAGTTGCAAAGGAAAAAGAAGATTCTTGTATATTGTTAGTAGATCGTTCAAGTCATAGGCATAAAAATGATAATAAACTTAAAAAAGAACAACATAATATTTATGTTAAACGAATACGCGCAGATATAGCAGATTTACAACTTGGTAGTATTCCAGAAATCAAACGTTTTATCAATAAAGTTGGAATTGCTAAACATCTATGTGGTACTGCTACAGGTATCTTTTAATATAATATATATTTATTATCTTTTTTTATTTTTGTATTATCTGATTTATACGAATTTGTAGACCTTGCAATACGATGTTTGACTCAAGCAATAGATAATAAATCTATCGGCAATAATTATGGATTAGTCATAGCTTTTTGTTGTCATCATAAATGTGAATATAAATCTTATATTGGTAAAGAATATTTGAACAAATGTAAATTCCTTCCAAACGAATTTCCAATCTTATGTAGCATAGCTAGTTGGGCGACTTGTGGATTTAATATTAAAAATGATACTGAATTAAAAAAGGATGAAAATGAAACAACAAAGTACGTACACTATTACAAATGTTACTTAATTCCAACATAATTTCACCTGATTAATAATATTTCGTGTGTTGTAGATCTAACGAGAAAAATATGCAATTTAATGAACGACAATTAATTGGTTATAAAGTTAAGACATTATTAAATTGGGGACGTTTAGAATATTTACAAAATATTGGCTTTGAAGGTTGTTTGTATCGTTACATTTCATCGGATGTTTCCTTGGAAAATATGTGTATCGTTGCAAAATATTCTGTCAGATAATAAACAATCATAATTAATCAAATAAATAATTTGATATGTTATGTATTAATTAATAAAAAATAATGATAAGATTTATTTTATCCTCTGTTACTCTCATGCAACTTGGAATTTTCTCATTGGTTGTCAATTGTAAACAGTGAAGCCAGATCGCGGAACATTTCTACCCCTTCTCTCGAGCCCAGCACGTCTCGCACACAACTAAATTTACGTGCGGTGTGTCGGGAAACCGAAAGAAGCCGAGGGAAGCCGAGGTTAGCTGCGCGAACAGAAGAGAAATAGTACCCCCACCACGCGCCGCGGAGAAATACATGGACACAATTCCATAACCCCGCGTGGTGGGGGTACTATTTCTCTTCTGTTCGCGCGCAGCTAATCTCGGCTTCCTTCGGCTTCTTTCGGTTTCCCGACACACCGACACGTAACAATCCATTGTGTGCGAGACGTGCTGGGCTCGAGGGAAGGGGTAAAAATATTCTACTATCTGGTTTATGTTTACATGTATAAATATAAATAGGTTAAGTTAATATTGAATTGATTAAAAATTGTAAATAAAGTTAAAATTATTAATATTCGACATATTTAATAATTATTCAACAAAGTGTACTGTATAATTAGGCTTTTTTTTTTTGTATTAATAAAAGTATCGTTAAAAATGATTATATTTTTGACATGTCTATCAGCTGATCCAATTCAATATGGCCGTTCATAATATACATATGTAAGTTTTCATTCGATAAGTCACAAAACTGCCCCTACAATTGTATCTTTTAATACAATAGTTTGTATGAAGATAAAAAATATATTTAAAAAAAAAGAATATCTACTCGTAAAAATATCTCACTTGTTCTACAAACATGGCTGGAAATGCACAAATATTGGAAGGATTTCTATGTCCCGTTTGTATGACCGATTTAAAAGCACCAGATAATTTGACCAAACACTTTGAAGAATTTCACAATAATGAACAATTTTTAAAATCTCTCAAAGGTATTATCAATCAATGAAATAATAAACACATCATATAAACATTATTATTAACTAATTCAATCATTATTTTTTATTTTTTTTATTTTTTAATGTAGATTTACTTGGCAAAGCTAAGAAGAAAATATTAAAACAAGATGAAATGCCAGAAGTATTTTCATGTACTCCAAATAATCAAAGACACAAATTAGAAATGAATACGGAACAACAAGAACCAGGTAATTGCGTTAATTATATTTCAATTAATCATCTTATCTTAACTATTATTAATAACAATGAATTCATTAGGTGTAATTAAATCACACACGAGATATTTCAAAGAAATAAGAAACATGAGATTGGAACGTTATACATCAGAAACAAATAAATTATTAATAAGATTAGATAAATTGTTATACAATTTGCCATTAGATCCAAGTAAAAGAAAAGGTATGCGATTAATATACAAAAGACATATTTGAACTTATTAACAAACACACACACACACACACACATTTGTATAAAATTGATTATCGTTAAACAGTACACGAACAAAGTATCGTACCATGGATAGATGAAACAGATGTCAAATTGTGTCCTACTTGTGCTAAAAGTTTTCACGTTGCAAGAAGGAAACATCATTGTCGACTTTGTGGAGCTATAATGTGTCATAATTGTACTCTTTATTTATCCCTATTGGATGCTCGTAAGTATCGATAAAAAGAAAATGAACAAACAAACAAAAAATATATACTTCTACCCAATTGGATAGTAATTTTACAGTTCTTGCTACAGATGCTGGATAAAAAAAAAACAAACTATTTTCTAGGAAAAATGACAAGTCCTGTTTCTATACAGGACGATTCGGCTGTATCTCCGTCATCATCGGAGAAAGGTTTTTCAGAACGCGTTGTACGAGCTGGTATAGGATTTACAAAATTGGCAAGATCACCATCGAGTGGTAGTTTAAATAGCGTTTTAGCTTTGGTCAATGATTCAACTGGTGGTGCTGAACAACATTTCAAAGTTTGTACGCATTGTATGAATTTACTCGATGCTAGAGAAAAACAAAAAGAAAAACAATTTCACAAGCCAATAGTATGTCAATTTTATGAAAAAATGAGATTGTACATGGAAGAAACTATGCAAATATTGATAATGTATAACAAAATGAGCGAATCTTTGAGGTATTTCATTCTAATTTTACATTACAATTTAATTCATTATTTCAATGCAATAATATATTAATATATCTGTTTTTAGAGAAGGAGAATCTACGTATGATTTGCAAGATGCACAAACGTTACGTCTTAAAATTGCTAAATTAGGTGAAAATATAGATGCAATTAGTAAAAGAATATTAGTACTTGGTACTAGGGATGTGGATAATTCGCCCCAAGGTCAAGAATTAAGATTACATCAAATGGTTAGGGCTAGTGCAATGTTATTTTTAAAAGAACAATTACTCTCTATACAATCGTTACCGTCGATAGAAGAATATGCCACGTTGAAAGAAGAACGTCAAAGACGAATAGAACTTAAAGCTGCCTATGAACAACGATTGGAAGAACAGAGACAAAAATCTCGTGAACAAAACAAAAGAGATACGCGAAATTTGGAAGGTGGTGGTGGTGGTGGTGGTGGTCCATTGGTCAAAGAAAATCAAGTAAGATTTTAATATAATATATATATATCATCGTGTGTTCTTAATTAAAATGTTCCATTGATTTTTATCATAATCTATCATAATCTATTTTTTTCAAGCAACAAATGACTATGGATCAATCGCAAGGTTGGGGCCCATCTATTAAAGCTCCTATGATATCTTCCTCTACTAATCCGCTCATCGAACAAATGAATAATTTAACAGCGTATATCGAACAAGCTAGAGCCGATTGTAAATTTGACGAGGTCACTACTTTAGAAAATAATCTTCAAGAATTGCGCAGTGCCTATTATGCCAGTAAGGAAAGTAATAACAGCGAATAATATAATAAAGGAAACTGTAAACATTCCTTTTACGTTCCTATAACAAACTTTTTAAATAATTCTCTTATAATATAATAATACGTGCTTTATTGTTTTTTTTTTTATCAAACAAACTAAACGTTTGTTTCATTAATAAAATTAAATGTACGTATTATGAAAGATTTGTTTTCTAAAATAATTAATTATGTTCAATAATTAGTAAAACATAAAAATATATTAATAACTTGATAATTGGGGAAAGTAAGTTTAACTTGTCGCAAAGATTTCGCATTTTTGTTTTATTATTATTATTATTAAAGAATAAATATATTAATTTATTTATATTTTATGAAAAATGTCCCCAATTAATAAGTTAATCTTCATTAGAAACTCGGAAGTACGTGATTTTGCAAAATTGATATAAAATATATATATATATTGTATTTCTTACTTTTGGAATATTTATATATGTTAGTGAAGTAATTGATATACTTAATAAGTATATAAGTACATAAAATATGTATGAAAATTTAGTTAACCATATATATATAAATGTATATGTATATGTATATATAAAATGTATTTTTTTCTCTCTCTCTCTCTCTCTATATATATATATATATATATAACAAATAATATAATTTTTTTAAATTACGATATATATATATCGTTTGAAAAAGTATATAACAATATATGCATTTGATAAAATGCATTAAAATTTGTATATTCGTAATATTGTGAAGAAAAACAAAAAAAAAAGAAAGTATATAAGATGAAAACAAAAAAAAACAAGATTTCATCAGTCTTAAAGTTTAGATTTTAAGGAAACCATTAATTTTTCTAATTTCATAGCTTTTTGAAGATTACCACTGATTTTCAACTTTCCTGTCATAAATGCGGTAGCTGGTTTTAATTTACCTGAAAAAAAAACAAAAAACAAATAACAAATAAATGTGTTAAGACAGAACAAGTAATCAAATAATGTATAAAAACAAACAAAAGTTTTCATTACCAGAAAACATTGCAAAGAATTGTTCCGAATTCATTGTAAGAATTGCATCTGCTGGATCTTTTGGTTCACCTTTGCCAGTAGAACCAGTACCACTTTTAAGATTTAAATACCACGTACTAGCTTCCTCTCCTTCAAATGGATAGAGAATAAATAGAAATAATTATGCATAAGAAAGAATAGCCAATAAATAAATGAATCATTTTACCTTTAACATTGAATTGATATACAGCATTAGTTTTGTTAACAAGTTCTGCACTCAAATTAGCATTAATAGCAGAAAATATATCTGCAATTTTGCCACTACCTAAATCATGATCAGATGATTTCTCAGATGATTGTTTAACTGTATTATCCTCCTTTGATGCATTCAAATTGATTGGAAAATTAATATTACCATCCAAAAAGAAATCTAGCATTAAATTATCTGTAGTATCTGTATAAACATTTTTATATTTATTCGATAATAATTCAAATACAACAAAAAAAAAATAGGTGAATATTATTAAAAGTAAATAAATGATACAAATATAATGAAATAATAAATAATACCTGGATTGCAAGCGTAACTTTTAAAATCAGTAATCCCTTCTTTTCTTAATATTTCTTCGTCAATTAAAAATTGTCCAGTAACGGATCTACTATCTTTACAAATCAAAGCGTAAACCGCATCTGCCACAATGTCAGGTTTACGACTGTGATTTTTAGAATCTGGACCCGTTAACATTTCTATTGCAGCAGTATAAATAGCTAAATAATAATATAAAAAAATACAATAATAATTATTGTCACAATATTTCTTCTAAGTAATATAGAAGATAACATGAATATAATTAATATATCTTTATATAATATACCAGTTTGTGGCCATACAGCATTAACAGCAATACCATCTTCTTTAAACTCTTCTGCCATACCAAGTACACACATGGACATTCCGTATTTGGCCATCGTGTATGCTACATGATTTTGAAACCAAATTGGTTTCATATTTAACGGTGGACTTATATTCACTATATGAGGATTTGTACTCCTTTTAAGATAAGGTATACATAATTTTGACCTAAACCAATTACACATCTTCATTATTACTTATTACATAATGTTATTAAAGAACAATTAACAAAGATTAATTACTTACACAAGAAAAGTACCCCTTGCATTAATATTATTCATAAGATCATACTTTTTCATATCCGTAGCCAGAGTACCTGTTAAAGATATAGCACTGGCATTGTTAACAACAATATCAATACCACCAAATTTATTAACTGCATTTTCAACGGCAGACTTAACTTGTCCTTCATCTCTGACATCGACGATACAAGGCAAAGCTTTACCACCTGCTTCTTCGACTAAACATTCATAAATTAATAACGTTAATGAACAAATATTTGTGTGTAAACATTTATATATTATTATTAATATCGTTATATTATTATTACTTTCTGCAACAGCTGTATAAATGGTGCCTGGTAATTTCGGATGAGGTTCTGCAGTTTTTGCAGCAACAACTATATTTGCTCCATCTTTTGCTGCTTTTAATGCTATACTCTTTCCAATGCCTCTCGATGCACCCGTTATAAAAATTGTACGTCCTGCCAATTTCCTGTATTTATATACAATGATTCCAAAACAAACAAAAATTGTATATATATATATATTATTAATTATTTTCAAAATGCAATTATAAATACAATAAGTGGATAAATGTAAATAGCAGATTGTTCATGTTAACCGTGTACATACACCACACATGTATATCCTTTAACCAAATATGTGTATATATATTACATGTATATATATATAAATGTAAAATTGATTAAAATTATTAGAAAAAATATATAAAAATACGTACCCAGAGTTTATCATGTTGCAAATAGTATAGAAAATGTAATGACAATTATTTCGATAATGTGATAATAACGTCTTGATATATCAATCTAATGAAATTGAATGTTAACTGTAAAACTGATTAATGTTTCATCAAATAATATACACATTTAACGTTTTTAATAATCGATTAACAATTTACGAGAATATGAACAAACTCGATTGCAGTTTTACATGTAAAAAACATATTTATATCTATATTATAATCGACCTTTGATCGTGAATTAACATTAAGGTATGTATCTATCCACGCAATCACTAATAACCTGATTTACAGTGTAGTATCTTTACAAAATGTTCTATTCGAATGATATATTGCATTTGATTATTTATTTCTGTATATAAAAAAAAAGAAGAAACAGAGTTATAGTATATTAAAAAGTAATTTGAATAACCTTGAAAAAATACGTATTAACTAATTTGCATTAATTAGCTGTACAAGTATAGGTTAAGTGAGGCATATTTGTATTACTATATATAGTATATAACGTATGTATGTATTTTGTCCAACAATTAGAAAGTTAACTTTAATATTTATATATTTAATTATTGAATGATCATATAATTTCAATTTTGTTTATTAATTAATGATGTATTGTAATAACGAATTGTTGGTACAACTGACGTTATTGACGTTTTACGTAATTTTTCATATATACTTTGATTAGTTGATGGTGTAAATCTTACACTCTTGTAAGATTTTGAAATTGGAGTGATACTAAAAAAATAAAAAAAAAAATAAAAAAATATTAAAACATAGATATTTTTATTATTCTTATTTTTTGTTTTGTTTTTAATAATAATAATAATATAATGAAATAATAATATATATATTGAGAATGTACCTATCATGATGCATTATTCTTCGTGTATCCATTAGCATCTCTCTGCGATTAAAAATACTTTGAGCATTGGAAGTTAATTTATTAGAATTAACAAATTTCATATTAATCGTTTCCATTTCTTCACGAAGTTTACGATATTTGTCAGACATTACTTGCATATTATGTGCAAGCTTACGATATTCATCCTTTAATAGATTATATTTTGCTTCCTTCAAAGTTAAATATAATAATATTAGATAAAACTAATATAAAAGATGAGATTGAAAAATAAGGATAATGTACAATTTGATAAAAACGTCGTAGAATAATGTTATTTTGAGTATTTTGAAAATTAGCTATTTCTGGTAATGATTGTATAGCTTCATTTAATGGAATAAACAAAGATGATACTTTGGGTAATAATGGTTCTTCCAATTGCAATGATGCCATATCCCCATTATTACATCTTGGACAAGGTCTTATACCTAAAGTTAAATAATAATATATATATATATATATTTACACTAAAAAAAAGCACATTCATTTGTAATAAAAAGATGATGTATGTTTTTTTTTTTATATCTTGTGTCAAATTTAACATAATTACCTTCGTCTAAACAATTATCACAAAATATATGTCCACATTGTGTTATTCTAAATGGTTTCTTTCTTCTGTTTTTCGTAGAATAACATTTATTACAAATGTAAGTATTCATTTGTCAATAAAATATATATATATATATAATATAATTGTTATATTTAATGTTTTGTCAAATAAAGTTAATTATTTATCAAGAAATAATTTACATTTGAATGTTAAGTATGTAGTATGCAAAGTTCGTATCGATAATTCGATATTTTCAATGGACCAATCATTTCAAGACATTATTTCGTATTTTGACCAATTAACTATCAATATTTAGGCGCGATTTTATAAAGATATTTAAATGAAATAATTATTCATTTGTATTATACATAATACATAACATATACATATATAATGATAATGTGTACATAATACGAATTATTTGATCGTATGCGTTATAAATCGATATATTTTAATATATTATATAAAATTTGTATAATAAACAAAATGTATATAACCTTATTCCAATAGCAAGAAAATAAAAATGTGAATTTACATTTGGAAATTGAAAATGTTTTATATCCAAATTTCATAATACATAAAAAAATAAAATGTTCTACAAAATTGTGCATTTTCTGCAACAACAGGAATTTGATTATTAATAAAATTAAAAAGTATTTCGAATTATAACGCCATTGATATGTGATAAAGTGTCATATACAAAGAAATAAATACATAAAGTTAATTTTATCACAAATTTCAAGTATATATATATATATGTAGATTCGTATTAAAATTTAACAAAATAAAAATTAATGAAAGTATATATATAGATTTAATTGTTCAACTAATTATTACGAGAATATCCTTAGCTATTTATATATATATATATATATAAAATTATACATGATCGAAGATGTACATAATGATAAGATCATTTAAAATAAAATGAAAATATATATATATATATATTTAAAAATAAAAATACTCTAATTAGGGATAAAGCTCGGTAATGAGACAAAAATCTAGTTAACTTTGCGTAATTGCTATGACACCATTTTGTCCAATCATTCCACCCTGTGATACTACTGCCAAGCTTGAAGATTCATTGATGCTAACTGGAGACGTAGAGTGATTATTTACACTAGTAGCAGCTAATGCTTTATTACGCAATTCAAATACTTGTTGTATCGCTTTGCGAAAGCATAAGAAATTGTAATCTATAACACCTGTAATTTCATTCAAATTCATAAACGATTCTTCATTCATTTTATACATTGGATGTAATTTCAACAAATAAATTAATATCTTACCTTGTCTGTCAAAATTATCCTCTCTCAAAATGCAAACCAAGGCTAAAAATTTATTCACTTCGCGCAAGAACAAAATAGTGCCGTTATTTAATTTAATTAAACTAGAACTTTGATTATCAAATGCCGCTGCATCCAAGTCTTCTCTCAATCTAATTAGAAAAATTATTCAAATTTGTATTATTTATATTTATACAAGTATATATTTACTTACCCATATATGCAAGAGACATCGATAACTACATCTATCATATCGCAGCATAATTCGTAACTTTGCATATCTACCGGTGAACTGTCAGTTGCAATGTAAATTTTGGATACAACATCGAACAGAAATGCTTTCTCAATTGCAGAATTCTAAAATATTATTATTCAAATTGAACGTTTAATAAAAGTAATGTTAAAATGATAATACTATGACAATTGTATACATACTGATATGAGTATATTTAATAAATTTTCCAATGTTGGTAATTGTGGTATTAACTTTTGAACAACTTTACTGAAAGCTTCGAATATACTGTGATCGTATATAGACGTCAAATGAAAACTAAGATGTATTCGATCGCATCCTAAAACAAATTTCTAACGATAGATTTACACAGTTTATCAATAATAAACGATAATTATTGTTTTTCCATTTATAATTTACCAGAATCTATTAGATCGTCGTTAGCTCTGGTATGTATGTCCCTTTGCGTTTCCATTTTACAATCATCCGATAGTCCATCAACTTTATGAATGAAAACTTCAAATTTAATAGCTTGATTAACCTTATATGCTTTAGTAACAGTCAAATGAAGTTTATTCAAAGCTTCCATATAATCATCCTGTGCATCTATTACAAAGACTAATGCACCACAACCACCAAATATCATATCGCTATCAAAAGTAGGATCAAAGAAATCTATTTGTCCAGGAAAATCCCAAATTTGAAATTGAACAAAGCTAGAATTACTAATATCATCTTTGATTACTTTGTTTGTACTTTCCAAGAATAATGTTTCGTTTGGGGACATTTTGTGAAAAACTACTTTTTGTATCGATGACTTTCCACTTCTGAAATATCATCAAAGAAAATGAAATACGAGTCTGATAGATTTTTAGATGAGTTATTAAAATATATATATATATATATATACCTTCTAAGACCCATTAAAAGTATTCTAGGTTTTTGTTCTCCTGCTACAGCTTCCGTAGATGCCTCTGCTTCTCCATCAAAGGGAGCATATCCAAAATCTTTTGGAAATGAATCAACATCATAACCTGATTGAAATTGATCATCATCATCCTAAAGAATACAATAGATCATAATGAATAAACAAATAACCTCTATGATGATACATTTAATAACAAATTAATAAATAATTATTTAATATGTTTTCTTTCTTACCATATTTATATATACAATATTATTGTCAAATCACAAATTGAATTTTCTATAAGGTTAATTTTAATTGATATCATTCAAATGCAAGAAAATAATCAGACTTGCGATAAAGAGGGCAAGCCCAATGTTGATAACAAAGAGAAAATCACCAACTGACAGAAATTACTGATCGCGCATATGATTCTTTAACATAACCTTCTATTTTCAGATGGTAAATAGAAAAATCAAACTATACATAACAATATTGATGTTTTTCTACAATTATCCTGCTTTGCCATCTATCGGTAATGTATTGAAACAAAAAAGAGAGATCATTTTTATAATATTTCTTTTTTTTTCACAGAATAAATAATTTTAAAAAATAATAATATTATAATTATGATATTAATTGTTTACATGTATTTTACAATTATCTTACAATATAATTCAATAACGAACAATAATATAAGACGATTTCTCGATATTTCGATATTTCAACATTTCGATATTTCGATATGAATACATCGATGAATCTTAAAATGGCGGACGGAACGCATGGCAGTCAACTAGAGGAATAAAGAGCGCTGTATGGTTCTTTTCCGGTATCGCTGTTACGCGTGGAAGGTAATGAAATTTGAACTGGTTCGAATATTTAAGAAAATCTATATTAATCCAACGATGCGTCAAGTTGAATAATCTATGATTTATAATTTTTTATATATTTCTTTAATATATTTTTCGATAGAGTATAAATTTCTTGAAGAAACATTATCTTTCATTGGGAGATCGTTTTTAACCTCAATTACGTATCACTTGGTATAACATCTTTTGGTAGTTTTTTAGTTTATTATGTTATTATATTTATACGACATTTGTGTTTTTATTTAATGCAGTTTTGTTTTGTTTTTTTTATGTGAATAAATTTTATTAATTGTTCGTATAAGTGAATCTATCGATTGATAATTATTTACACGAAAATACGAACATTTCATTGACGTTGTTTAATTAAAACTTGTATTGTTTTTAAACTTTATTCAAACGTTGTGTGCGTTTATTATTATTTGTTTATATGATTCATTTATTAATATATATGTATACACGTATCGAATTTATTTTGATTCAATGTGTGATAGACTTGAAATGCTTGTTACATATTTGAAAAAAGAAGAAAATGGAAGAGTTAACTAATTAAACTAATTTTCTTTGTTTTTTGTTTTAGGTTAAAAAATGAAGCAAATTGTAACCAACCAGACGGTGAAGATCCCTGAGGGATTGACCGTTACAGTGAAATCTCGTTCTGTCACGGTTAAGGGACCAAGAGGTGTTCTTAAACGTTCCTTCAAACATCTTGCTTTGGACATTCGTGTAAGTATTATTTGCTTCAAAAAATAAATCCAAAGAAGAAGAAGAAATAGATTTCTTATGATGATAAATATTTGGATTCCCCTTCATTTTATTTATAAATGAGAAAGCTTTATTCTGATACGTATTCTGATAAAAATGAATCAATGAATTTGTCGCATTAAAATATTATTAAATAATTTTTGTTTCTCGATTATTATTTCATTACAGATGATTAATCCAAGACTATTGAAAGTTGAAAAATGGTTTGGAACAAAGAAAGAATTAGCTGCAGTACGTACCGTATGTTCTCACATAGAAAATATGTTGAAAGGAGTAACGAAAGGTTATCAATATAAGATGCGAGCTGTATACGCTCATTTTCCTATTAATTGTGTAACAACTGAAAATAATACGGTCATTGAAATCCGAAACTTTTTGGGTGAAAAATATATACGACGAGTTAAAATGGCTAATGGCGTAACTGTTACAAACTCTGCCAAGCAAAAGGATGAATTAATAATCGAAGGAAACTCGTTGGAAGATGTTTCACGATCTGGTATGCAAAATATAATGACATTGTTGTATACACATTAATATTCTATAGAATAATTTTCTGATATAATATAATATAATACTATTGTAATTTATTAATTAATACATTTTTATTTTAGCTGCACTTATTCAGCAATCTACCACTGTGAAAAACAAAGACATTAGAAAGTTTTTGGATGGACTTTACGTTTCCGAAAAAACTACCGTTGTACAAGATGATGAATAAATGTTATTAGACGAAAATTAACATTATTTCATTTTATTCTATATTATTCATTGGAAATAGATATTATTTATAATGCGTTTATACGTCCATATTGTAATATCTATAATTTTATTATACTACTATATTGTCATTTGATAATTAATTTTATAATATATACTTGAAAACACACTAATTTATACAATTTTTAACATAATAATGATTAAATAGAATGCATAATAGTGCATTAGAGTTTTTGAAATTGGCGCTACTTTTATATAGTTGACGTACTCACCGCAGAAGGGCGCGCATAACGTATTATTATCTTCTACATAAATATTTGTTTGTTTACATTAGAATTCATATAGTTGAGAGTATTTTTAAGAATTTTTCAATTGATATATATATTTATATATGTAATTAAATTTCAAATAATATTAATAATGTCGAAAGAATTAGTGAACATCGATGGAAATGTTAAAAAAGTTCAGAAGGAAAACCTAACCCCATACAAAGTTGCTATTGTTATGTTGATAAAAGAATATTGCAATGAAAGTCGTAAAGGTAATTAATTTTGTTGTCAAAATAAACAGATTTTATTACTTTCAATAATTATCATTGTAAAATGATACATCTTTAATTATGTTTCAGCTATTGTGGTAAGACGTGATTTTTGTTTAGCAGCAGTCAAGTTAATTCAGGTAAGCTATATAATTTTGAAATTTAAATAAATAATCTTTTTGAAAAAAAAAAAAATGATTTTCATGTTCCTTTTTTTTTCCTAGTCACCCGATATGGAATTGTATACCTTGTTACATATGTTATACAGTAGCGAATATATTTATTCTTATGGACACGAGTTAGAACTTCAATTAAATACATTGTTAGAGAAGGGTATTGAAGGATTGTTAGATTTATTCGATAATCTTGGTAGATTAATGAAATCTACGTTAGATCATGCCATTACTGTACCATTATTAAATAAAAATTCCGTTCTTGGATTATACGTAAGAAGAATAATAATATTTTTTGAAAAATTACCCTTCGATCAATCCATTTTGTTATATGAAGATCTTAAGAATTATGTTAAGAAAAAATCGAAAAGTCCTGAAACAACCGATATATCATCTTGTTTAAAATTTGACGAACCTTACATTTACAAGTAAGCTTTTCTGTTTGTTTTTTTTTTTTTTTTTTTTTTTTTNTTTTTTTGATAAGTATATTCGTCATTCGATAGATGAGAAATATCTTATAAAATATTACAATTTGGATAGTAATAAAAGTACAACCGTATGGAGTGGAAGACAAGCAGAATTATTAGTCGCTCAACAAGCGCATGCATTAAAAATGGATGAACACAAGGCCATGTCACCGGTTGATTTACAAATTCTTATAAAGAAACTTCTTCGTTCTAGTCCTTATTATGCAGAAGCAGTAAGTGTTATTCTCTTTTATATATGAATTTGATTAAAAGTAAATATATTTGTTACTTATTTTTTTGTCTTCTACATATTTCTTTTCAGCATTATCTGAGCTATTTGAATTGTTTACGGATAAACGAATACTGTAGCGCAATAGATAGTCTTTATCATTGTTTCGACAGATTAGCACCATCCGAAAATCGTTCAACGCCTGAAGACAAATCGAGAATGTTGAGATATGCAGCATTAAATCTTGCAGTACTTCATGCTCATTTTAATCATAAGTACGTTTTATATAATATTATTATTTATTAATGTAATGATTAATATTATATACTTTTTGTGTGAAGAAAAGTAGCAGAGGAAGCTTTGAAAGAAGCTATTATGATGGCACAAGAAGCAGGGGATAATGTTTGTTTGCAACTAGCTCATGCTTGGATGTATTACCTCACTAGCAATAAAAAGTATGTTTGTATAAATATATTTTTTTTTAATAATATATTACAAAGTTGTTGATATTTGACAATTTTTTTGTAGAGGTCCTTTGATAGAAAGATCTCTTGGAAAAGCTAGTATGTTAGGAATTACATATACCACGGGTTTAGGATTGATTGCACTTTCTCATTATTCCGCTTTAGAAGCTAAACCTCCTTCGCAAATTTTTGAGGTATGTAAAAGTTAAATGTGACCAAACGTGTTTCATTATTTATATATAGACAGACACATTTGTTTGTAGACGTTAATGAAATCAGACGTGTTGAATTGTCAACATTCAATGATAGATCTAATGTCGTTGACTTATTCTGAAAAATCAGCGCTATGGGCATATTATGGAAAGATGGAATTATCTTCAGTTTGTTCTCAACTTCTTCTTTTGCATAATTCAGGAAGTAAAAAGCAAAATGTATTCAATGGAACTTCAACTTGTCAAGCGGTTGTAAACGTTGCTAATATTTTAGTAGAATTTGGTGAATACAATCTCGTTGATATTGTATTAGCTCATGCTAAAGAAAGATTTCCCAATCATCCGTCTAACAAGGTTTAAAACAAATTATTGACTTTAAGTATATCAGAATAATTAAATGTTTATATATATATATATATATATTCTTTTTAAAATTACATAATGTATACAAATATTTACAGACGTGGATGTTGTGCGAACAATTATATGAATTTACAAAAATGATGAGACGCGAAAGGTGGAGCGAAGCAGATGCAATAGCTACTCGCATATCTAGTTTAGATCCATTGGAATCTAAGTTTAGGTAATATTATATATAACGATATGTTTTATTACATAAAGATAATAGAGAGAAAATTATTTGTGATGTTATGAAAATATCCTTGATATATCGAAATTATAGGCAAGCAGAAGTTTCTTTAGCCAAAGGAGATTATCCAAATACTTTGCAATTAATCGACAGTATAGAAAAGGTTTCTGATATAACAGCAGAAAATCGAGTACGCGCTATGATACTTTTGAGTCAAATAATGTGCGCATCTTTCTTGTCGGGAAATGAAACAGTAGGACTCAATTCGTTAGTGATTCTTAACAAAGCATTGGAATTAGCTACCCATAATCATTTGTCCTATTATGAAGCTCTTATCAAAATGCATCTGGCGAATGTTCAAGTAATTATATAATAGTAACTTCATTTAACTCATATAGGTAAACAAATACAAAAATATATACATATTATATTATTTTTTTGTAGTTACTTATGGGACTACCTTCGTTGGCAATGAACTTGGTTGATGAAGCTATCACTCATACGTTAGCTCATGGCGGATGTTACGAACAAGGGAGAGCACTTATTTTGTATGCTAAATGTTTAGTCAGTACTGCTACCTCAAATTCGACTAAATTACGAAAGGAAATAATCTTAAATGCTATCAAAGCGTTGTCTAAAGCAAAAGATCATTTTAATAAAGTTGAAGCTTTTGGTAAAATACGCAGTGTATTGAGTTTACAAAGTATAATGTACAATGAGATAGATATGAAATTTGAACGGAATCAGTGTTCATTAGAATTACGACGATTTGAGGAACAATTTCCAACAAAATTGGACAATATTTGTTTATATTAAAACAAAATAGATGTTATCGTTTTTTTTTAAATTGTTGTTGTTTATACATTTACTTTTTAAATTATTTCTATAAAATCTTGTCATTTTAATTGAATCAAAGTTCAATTGTTTTAATTGAAATTTAAAATATACGCAGTGTAAGAAAGTATTACGTAAGGTTTATTTATGCTTTATATACTTGTGTATATATATAGTGTAACACACTTCCCTTAAACTACCATACACGGTTTGAGATTATAAAAAAGGATGTAGCTTTGTTCGTAGTAATACAATCATTGTCTATCATGTTCTATATTATCGACATGTTCGTTCGCAACGGCAACCTGTCAAGATCTCTTCATATCTTCACTCATAAACAGCTTTGAATTGCATAGTAACAGCCCTTCAAACCCTTTAACTCTGGCCTACTCAGACCGGGTTGCAACATTGTTCTTCCTCTTCAAAGTTGTCGTCCCGACAACTGCCATATTCCTAGAGCAGAACCGATTCAGGTTCCATGTCTTCTCCCATGTAGTACCAGTGCACCGTTGGCATGGAAGCGAAATATTTAATATGACTTCCTCCAAACCACTCACCGACTTAGTGGGCTATTCACCTGGGGTTCAAACTCGCTCCAACTAGAGGAAAAACCATGGCGTAAAAACCTCCAGAAGATCGTTTGTTCCAGTCGCCATAATGCGACTCTAAAACAGCAAGGTTTCTTCCGAAATAGGTTGTCTACCTTCAGAACAGTTCTCGTTCTTCTTGAGCAGGTCATCTTCTTTCAGGACAACAAATCTTATCTTCCGAAACAGGTTATCCTCCTCCAATGCAGGTCGTCTTCCTCCAGGACAGTCCTTCAATCTGAACGAACACGGAATACCCCTCTTCCTTGCAGATTTTCCGAAGAAGAAAACATACTTTCTCTCTCGTTGGAGAATCCTTGTTGTGTTCTCCGCTAACTCGTTCTGAACTTTCAACTGCATGTCTCTGGCACGTAACCTTCCATTACGCGAACAAAATGAACACGCGTCTTTTGATGAACAAGCAGTGTTGAACATTCCGGTGACCGGAATTTGAGTAATACATATATATTTCTTATTAATTGCTATTAAAATTAAAAAAACAGAATTAATTTTCAAGGGTTGCTAAGTAATATTCTTTTTCTGGAAAAGGGATTGTAGAAGAAAAAAGTTTGAGAATCAGTGATCTAAACTGTGCATCAAATACAAAAGAAGTTCATTTTACTAATACATTTTGATAAACGCAAATTGTTCATCATATACATATATTTCATTGATAATATTATTTTATGAAATATTAATAAAAATTCGTTGTCAATTGTCATCTGTATTGTTCAAATTAGTTGGAATTTTGTCGTCAAAGAAAATTGAAGAGCGCAAAAATGGTGCACCTAAGAAGATTGGTATTGTTCAAATTAGTTATGAAGATAATTGAAGAGTGCAAAAACGGTAAGCGTGATATTCAAATGTTTAATTTGAATAAACATTTTGGAAACAAAGGAAAGTATATTTGTAAGTACGGATAATTGAAGAATAATAGAAGAATAGCGAGCGATAAGGAGAGAACTTCAGTCTTTTAGAATAGCAATTAGATGGTTCAGAGAAGTTGATAAAAATAGTATTTGATTTATATTGTATTAAGTTTATTCATTACAATAGAAAAAGAGAAAAGGAGTTATTTTGTTTTATTACATTTGTTATAAGAGAGTTTTTCAGATTGTTTTTATATTTATAATACAAAATGAAGAAGAAATTGTAAGTAAACATTATATTAATATTTTTTTTTACTTTACTATTGATAATTAGTAATTTTCTTCTTATTAGGAATTATAGTATTTTTAAAAGATACTCCTTACCTCCTGAATTAAAGAACGTTTTACAAAGTAATTTAGTAATCAGTGAAAGTAACAGTAGAATGACTAACTTGTATATAGAACTTCTTGAAAATCTGAAAAGCATTGAAAGAATAGATGAAGAATATTATTTAGATTATTTTCATACCTTATTATATATCGAAGAGTATGAAAAATCGAAAAGAAAGCATAAAGAATTACAAACAATTTTAAAAGGATGTCAATTAGAAAAGAAATATTTCAATAGATTTACAGTATGTGCGTCAGATTTAAGTGAAAACGATTATCTTATTAAACTGCACGATTTGATTTTTTTAAATGAAACAACTTCTAATAATAATGTAAATAAGCGTTTTTACATCGCTAAAGTTGTAAAGATTTATGAGGGAAACTTTGATTTTGTCATAAATAATAAGTAAGTATATCACCCTAATATGTTTTAATGTTTGTGATTTATATTTTACATTTTAATTGTAATTACAGTTCCAAATTTAAATTTCATGAAAATAAGAAATATGATATCAGTGTAAGGGACTCAAACTTTCCTCTGAAAATATGTCATTATGCTTTGGATGAAATACAATCCTTTTATAACATTAAGTTATTGATAAATCCGGAAATTAAAAAGGATACATTACAGTACTATTCAATAACGTAAGTTGTATTTGTCGTTATTCAAAGTTACATTTCTTCATTTTAAAATACTTTATCTTTTCTATACACCGTTAATTATAATTTATATAGAAATTTTGCTTGGTTCAATGAATCGATCAAGAAAAATCCTGAACAGATGCAAGTAGTGAAAAATGTTATAAATAAGACAGCTTATCCAGCACCATATATATTATTTGGACCACCTGGTACAGGAAAGACTGCTACATTGGTTGAATTAATTTGCCAGGTATTAGAGATATATAAATCATTTGAAATACATTTCATTTTATTTAATTCTATTCATAATTATCGTTTACATTCTGTATACAATTTTGTGCAGGCAATTGTGTGTCAGCCAAGATTATTGGTAACCTTAAGAAGCAGGGTATTGGTTTGTGCTACGTCTAATGCTGCTGTAGATGAAATTACAATAAGATTATTAAAATATCTACCAGCGGAAATTATGTGCAGGATTTATTCGCAATCATACGATAGGTTAATTAATTGATATGATATGATATAACAGATATTCAAATTAATATTGTTCTTTTGTGTTATTTATTTTGTTATGTTATATAGGTCCAAGGTAAATAAGACTATCCTTCCTTGTAGTTATTTTCTAAAAGATTATCTTGGATTCATTAGAACTGCATTACATTTTCAAATAATTCTAGTTACGAACATTACATGTGCTTGGTACGTAGATTGTTTTAAATGATAACAAATGTTCATTTAAAGATATATATATATATATATATATATATATATATATATAGACTTTAAAATGAAGAATATTATTATTTTAGTCTCCTCAATACCGATTTGGGGAGAAATCTTTTTTCTTATGTAATTATTGACGAAGCAAGTCAAGCTACAGAACCAGAAACAATATTACCATTTTTGTTTGGACCTTTGATACCCATGATGAAATCACAAGTTGTTCTTGCTGGTGATCCTTATCAATTGGGACCAGTAATTTTATCAAGAATAGCAAAACCATTGTTAGGTAAAATAGAATCATATTTTACCTATTTCTTTTCAATTGTATTTGATTGTCTTATTAATATATTCTAGGTATATCAATGTTAGAGAGATTAATGAATTTTCCTATGTATAAACAAGACAAAGATAATAATTATGATTCGCGTTATGTGACCAAATTGAAACAAAATTATCGTAGTCACGAGTGTATATTACACGTGTCCAATCAAGAATTTTACGAAAGCGAATTAATTGCTTGTGGAGATGGAAGAATTATCAATAGTGCAATTGGATGGTCAAAATTACCTAACAAATATTTTCCAATAATATTTCATTCGTCGTATGGTATAGAAAAGAGTAAAAAATATTCGTCCAGGTAAGAAAGTAAAATGTATACATATGAATATTTCGTAAGATCAATTATATTGTAATTATTGTAAGTACAACAAATCATTCATTTTACAGCATGTATAATCTTGAAGAAATATCTATCATAATGAAGTACTTAAATTTATTACTGGGTGTAACTTTTGGAGATATAAAAATTGAACAAGGACATATAGGCATTGTATCACCGTTTAAGCAACAAAAACTTGAAATTATTGAGAGATTAAAAAAGAGAAAAATGAATTCTATAACTGTTGGTAGTGTAGAAGAGTTTCAAGGAAGTGAAAAGGAAATCATTATTTTAACAACTGTACGATCACGTGTATTCAATCACGATGGAATACAAAATATTGGATTTTTATCTGAAGAAAGGGTATATTTACAATTATTTCTATTAATTATTTATTTAAATTTAATTTTAAATAAAACATATATATATATATTTTTTTTTTCAGAGATTCAATGTTGCTTTAACTCGAGCAAAATGTCTTCTTATTATAATAGGCAATCCAACTGTTTTAGAAACTAATAAACATTGGAAAGTATTATTAGAATATTGCAGAAAAAATAATGCTTTCACCAAATCTTTTAAATAGAGGTGATGTGTGAGCAAAAGGTTTACATTTTAATAAAGAGAGAGAGAGAGAGAGTTATTAAATAATACTACAAAGATTAATTTTATGCAATATATAATGTTAAGATTGTTTCATAGATTTTGTCTACATTTTAATTAAATATTCCAAAATTATCTTATAATAATGAAAACATGTTTACTTATTCTTATATTTGACGATACATCGTTTACATTTTTAAAATTGTTCTTTTTTTATTCAATTAAGAAAGCAATTGTCATGCATTATTAGTTTGTGATAGATAATTGATATATAAATCAGATAGAAGATATAATTGCGAGATAATCATTTATTCAGTCAATCAACCCAACCCCTTGTTTTATAACAACGAGTGAGACTCGTGATATTTGATTAAGATCAAACAAACAACACGTGTCAGACTCGTTGTCCATTTATTCTCGAATATTTTCTTACTTTAATTTGACGTATAATAATAATTATTATTATTATCATTATTATTATTCAAGCAATGGAGTATTGGTGGGTATAGGATAAGGGGTTAATAAAAATCCATAGCAAATTTGGTTAACGTGTTTCATTGATCGTACCAATCAGCACAATATATATCTATATATATATATATTCAAACACGACAATTTTAAAAGATAATACGCATTAGGAAAATAACAACATTGATTTTCTCACTTTTGTACATATAATTTATTTTATTATAATAAAACAAGTATGTATATGACGTGCAAATGACCTTTGTACAAATTCTTAAAAAAGACAAATCTAATGTAATTTGAAAATACTTGCTTTCAAAGTTTCTTTCATCAAATCTTCTTCTTCTTCTTCTTTTTCAAATGAGAAATGTGAAATGAAAGTTTAAAATAATCAAGGAACATGTTTACTCATAAAGTCATAAGTATTGAACAAGGGTGGTTTTTAGTGATTCGAAGTGTTTAGAAAACAATAAGTTGCTTTAAACATTCTTTTTATTTCTTCTTCTTCTACTTCTTCATCTGAACATGAGAAATATGAAGTGTAAGTTTAGACTGATCAAATAAGAAACATGTTTTTTCATAATAACACTCATAAAACATTGAACAAGGGTGGTTTCTTGTGATTCTAAGTGTAAAGAAGTGAACTGTTATCGAATAAGATGCTGTCTTCTTCTTCTACTTCATCTTAACATGAGAAATATGAAGTGAAAGTTTAGACTGATCAAATAAGGAACATGTTTTTTTCATAATGACACTCATAAACACTGAACAAGGGTGGTTTCCTGTGATTCTAAGTGTAAAGAAGTGAACTGTTATCGAATAAGATGTTTCAAAAATTCCTTCTATTTCTTCTTTTTCTACTTAATATAAGAAATATGGAACTAAAGTTTAGGCTGATCAAATAGGGAACATGTTTTTTCATAAAAACACTCATAAAACACTGAACAAGGATGATTTCCGGTGGTTGTAAGTGTTTAGAAAGGAATAAGATGCTTCAAAAATTTCTTTTATTTCTTCTTTTTATTTAATATGAGAAATATGGAATGAAAGTTTAGGCTGATCAAATAAGGAACATGTTTTTTTGTAAAAACACTCATGAAACACTGAACAAGGGTGGTTTTTGATGATTCTAAATGTTTAGAAAGAAATAAAATGCTTCAAACATTCCTTATATTTCTTCTTCTTCTACTTTTTCATCTCAACATTAGAAATATGAAGTTAAAGTTTAGGCTGATCAAATAAGGAACATGTTTTCTCATAATAACACTTATAAAACACTGAACAAGGGTGGTTTCCGGTGATTCTAAGTTTAGAAAGGAATAAGATGTTTCAAAAATGACTTTTATGTCTTCTTCTTCTTCTACTTCTTCATCTTAACATGAGAAATATGAAGTGAAAGTTTAGGTTTATCAAATAGGGAACATGTTTTCTTATAAAAACACTCATAAACACTGAACAAGGGTGGTTTCCGGTGATTCTAAGTTCAGAAAGGAATAAGATGCTTCAAAAATTCCTTCTATTTCTTCTTTTTCTACTTAATATAATAAATATGGAACTTAAGTTTAGGCTGATCAAATAGGGAACATGTTTTTTTTGTAAAAACACTCATAAACACTGAACAAGGGTGGTTTCCGGTGATTCTAAGTTTAGAAAGGAATAAGATGCTTCAAAAATTCCTTCTATTTCTTCTTTTTCTACTTAATATAAGAAATATGGAACTAAAGTTTAGGCTGATCAAATAGGGAACATGTTTTTTTTTTGTAAAAACACTCATGAAACACTGAACAAGGATGATTTCCGGTGATTGTGAGTGTTTAAATAGGACTGGGATTGTCATCGATAAGAAAACAAGATAGAGATATGAATATGTACATACATATATATATATAAAGAGAGAAAAAGAGAGAGAGAGAGAGAGAGAGGGTATAATAGAATGAGTGAGTGAGAGAGAGTGAGAGAGTGAGTAGAATCTTTATAGAAAAGCGCGCGCGATATAACACATTGATTTGCGCTTGCGTATGCGCATTAAAGTGCACCTATCTCTTTCCCTCTGAGTATTTTAGCCCTTCTCTCCCCACGTTTAGGTGGTCCAGGCCCGTGGCCGTGTCTCTCGACCCGTACACGAACGAGTCACGACCGGGATACGAACCAACAGGTGATGCTGGGAAGAGGCACTCCCTCGGAAACGTCCGGATCCCACTATTCTCCTCTCCCTCTCCCTCTGTTCTTTTTTTTTTTTTTAGCCTTCCTTCTGGATATATCCTCTCTTCTTCCTTCGAGAGTGATTTAGTCGGGCCGACGACGGGGCTCATTTTCGTAGTCTCTTCCTCTTCCTCCTCGTCGAGAATTCATTTTTTTTTTATTCTCTCTATTGTTTTTATTATTATTCTTCTACATTTTTGGGTGCGGATATAATATCTATCATATTCTCAATGATTGATAATTATCATTGATAAGAAGACACAAGAAATATGATTCATATTTGTTTTATTCTTTCGTTTGTTTTTGTTTCGATTTTTTGTAACATTTATCATTGATAAAATAGAAATAGAGAGAGAGAGAGAGAGGAGAGAGAGAATTTAGAGAGACAGACAGAGAGAGAGAGAGAGAGAGAGAGAAGGATGGAAACACGCGCGAAATTGATATATTAATGTGAACAAAAAATATTTCACTTGTATAACGTGAGGATTTGTTTCATTGTTTTACTTTTGATTGTTTTTTTTTGTATTTTTTTGGTTTCTTTTCTTTTTTTTTTGGAACTAATATTCGGTGCAACAACAACACAACAACAACAACAACAACAAGTCAAGTTGATCTTCTACCTGCATTCAGGATTATAACACACCTTTATATTTCATCAATTTCTTCAAACAACATTTGTATCCGTGAGTCAAGTTCTCTCTCTCTCTCTCTCTATCTCTCTTTTTCTCATTAAATTGTCAAATTTTTCAATTTGTTTGGTTCTCTTTTCTTGAGGCATGTTTATTACTACTTTAATATGCATATGGGGGGTTTTTGTTTGTTTTGTTAAATTTATTTAATTATTTTTATTATTTGTATTGTTTTGTAAAAAAGGGTAAATGAATTAATATTGTTTTGTTTGAATTAATGATGATTTTTGTATTTTCTGGATTAGGGTATGCATTATCATATCGATGACTTTAATGAAACATGTGTGAGATTATTTGTTCTTTTCACAGGATTTATAATAAAATAAAAATTAGAAATAGGCGTGAGACAAACACTTGTTGGTGGTACAAACGTTGTAACAGTATATATATATATATATATTTTGATATCAACGATGATGGTTTTCAATTTGTGTTGATTTCAATTATTGGAATATTAGTTTTCACACGTTGTTTTTTTTCTACGTTTCCTTTCATGTGTATCTCTGTGTGTATGTGTGTATGTGTGTGTGTGTGTGTGTATTTGTCGATAAAAAAGAATTTATTATTTTTTCTCTTTGTCATTTCGTTATTTCCCATAAACGATTTAGTTAGTTCTATTGGAATTTTGTCTGTTTTTTTTTGTTTTTTAAATACTTTTTTGATCATTTATTCACAAATATTTTTAATATCTCCCATTTTGTTTGTTTGTTTGTTTGTTTGTTAAATAAAATACGTGAAATATATATACGGTGGTTTAACAATAATTTAAGTGAACAATATATAATTCATATTATAAACATAATGTTCATATATTTGAAATTATTATATGGTGTTTTAATTGTTTAATGTTTAACGAAAATAATAAGATGTTGAATTTGTTTTTATTTAATAAAAAAAAGAAAAGAAAAAAAGAAAAAAAAATCATTACGTGATTGTACGATTGAACATCGCGTTGTTGTATTTTTATCGATTAATTAGACTATTTTGAAAATGTACCTGTTCCAAACAAATGGATTGATCCTGGTTGTGTCCTATTGTTCGTGACCTGTTTACTCGCATAATTTAAATCTCTTTGAAATTTTTATCTCTAACTGATGTTATTTAGAAAATACATTGTCTATAAAAAAAAAAAAAAGAAAAGAAACAAATATTAATAATGTAGAAATAATTCGTGAAAATAATTGAACGATGTTTTTGAAAAACATATTCAAACTAATGGCTTGAAAATGTGAATATCATTTTGATCGCAAAAAATCTCCTTTCTTTTTTCTTTTTTTTTTTTTTAAATGCAAATGCATTCACTTCATCTAAACTAATGGCTTGAAAATATGAATATCATTTTGATAAAAAAAATCTCCTTCTTTTTTCTTTTTTTTTTTTAAATGCAAATACATTCAGTTCATCAAAAGTTCAATTTGCTATAACACTGAAACGTGATCAAATAAAATACGTTTGTATGAACGTGAATTTCTACTTTTTACTATGTACTTTCATTTTTACAGTATTTTTCCATTTGTTTTGTTACACCCTGTATAAGGTTTGTACATATGTTTGAAATGTATATATGGTGGAAGGGTTTTAAAGCTTTCGCGTATTATTCAATACTCGATGATGTCCTTTGAACAAATTCTTTGTTGTTGTTATTGTTGTTGTTTTATTTATAACAAATACGTTCATCTCTTTGTAGACGAAATTAAAAAGAAGAAAAAAAAAATGAACAAAATGAATTTTTTCTATGTTACAGTATAATACTTATTTATTCTATTACACCTTGTATAAGGTTTTGCACTTATGTTTGATGCTTTAAAGCTTTCGCATTTTTTAATAACCTTACAAACTTTTTTTCTCTTTTGTTTTGTTTTATTCATAACAAATGCATTTGTCTCTTTGTGGGTTAAATTAAAAAAAAAAAAAAAAAAAACCAAAAGAATGAAATAAGAACAAAAATATGAACAAACTATACTTCCCATTTATTCTATGAAACCTTGTACAAGGTGTAAATCGAATGATGTAAAAAATGGTTAGTTAACCTCTAATTAAGCAGATTATTTATTAAAAAATGATTATAATTGAAAATGCGAATTTCTGATACGGAATATCTATCTAAAATGGGTCAAACGAAACTGTACAGCAAGGACCAGAATAAAGGCATCGTCGAACAATAGTTCTTTAGTGGATACACCTCTACTGTATATACATATACAGTATAGTATATATACATATATATATATCGATTATATCTTTCGTAAAGCGGACTCCGATCGTATTGTTTTCGATCAAACTTAATCTATACAGCGTATTGTTGAACAAAAAAATAATATATGTATACATATATATGTCTTAAATATATTTTTTTTAATTTTTTATAAAATTTATATATTTATTATACAAATATATATATATATATATTTCTTCTGTGCACATATTTGTAATTGAACTCCTCTTAAACGGGTGGACCGATTTTAATGAAATTTTGTGTGTGTCTTCAGATGAATTCGATAATGGTTTAGCGTTACAATTCGATCCAATTTAAGTTGTTTATTTAATTAATTTTTTTATTTATAAATTGTTATGCGAAATGTTTATAGATTGAGGTTAGTCGATATTCGAGTTAAAGAGAATATTCGAGTCCGATAATCGAAGTTATTCGATTCCGACAGTTAGTGCTGCGATCACATTAAGGAAAATATTTTGTAAATAGCTACAGCAATGCATGGCCGGGGCACCCCTACTATATATATATACATTTATATTTTTTTATATTTTGTATATTATTTAAAAATATATTTACAATATTTTTTTAAATATATATTTGTTCGAGGTTTGTACCAATTTGATAGTAGAAGATTAAACAGAATTTTCTAATTTTATCTTTGCTTTGTGTGTGTACTGTACTCTTCTTCTTCTTCTTCTTCTTCTATTTTTTGTCTTTTCTTTTTATTATCCTTTTTTTTTTACAAACTAGAGTAAGAGAGAGAAAGAAAGAGGGTTTCGATTCAGGTTGGTCCACTCTCAAAGGGTTGTTATCCACTTCAACGCTTTCACGGGAACTCTTAGATGACTTATCTTCAAGATATCGAAGTTTTACGATCGAAATTTTATCTAGTACACACCTATCACGTGTTACTTGTTCACACTTTTGTTTTTTCTCTCACTCTTTCGTTAATTTTTTTATTCTTCTTCTTTTTTCCTTTTCATATTTCTATTAAATGTTTAATAATAATAATTATTTATTGTTCAGTGTTGTTCAAACGTTTGTTTATATAAATGATAGATGAATCTGTTTTTATTTTTTTTATTTTTATATTAGTTTTCTCTTTCCTACGTTGGTATCATTAATTAAATTGTTTCATTAATTTCATCGTAGTAACTCGGTTTCATTTTTTATGTTTGAAAGGATCAACGACACGTGTGTAGGATGTTTTAACGAGTAACACACGTCGTTAGGAAAATTAAAATGAAAAAATGGTGACGATGAATAAGAATGAACAAAAATAATCAAAAGTGTACGCTTGATTGATTGATTGATTAATTGGCTTCGATTTATTTCGATTTGACCATAAACATTTTTTGATTTTTTTTTTTTTTCAAAAGATTTCCTTTTTTCTTTTGTTTTAATCCAATTTCTTCAAATAGAAAAGTATTTTCTATATTCCAATTTTTTTCTTTTTTGTTCTTTTAATCGAGAACTATAAAGAGTACTGTAAAAGAGATAATATAAAGTTTTGAAAATTTTTCAAAAAAGAACAGAATGCCTCAAGAAAGCATTCGTTGGCAAGGAACTCAGAGGAGAGCATGTGGCCCAGGAGCGCAATGGAACGTTCAGGTTCGTTTCATATTTTTCCATATATTCATTTTTTATTACAATTTAATAAATACAGTTAATTATAAAACACATATTTTTTTTTTTACAGTAAACTCTCAATTTAGTCACGTTTTCAATAATTACTATACCTTTTCATGTTAGTTTCTCATCATTTTAATTTGTTTTTTCCAAAACAATCGAAGAAAAATTAATGGCAGATGTATATACCTAACCTCTAAATTAAAATTCAAATATAAAAATACGATAAAACGAATAACAAAAAGTATTTACAGTTATTAATTATTAAATTTATATTAATTTTTAATCTTTCCTAGTGTTGCAATTGAAATAAAAAAAAAAATATACATCCTGTAAAGAATAGTCACTTTTTTTTGACAAATTTTCAAATTTCGCGGGCTCATTAATTTAAAAATCATTTAATTGGATAAGTAAAAGTATTTATCGTTGTGATTGGTTTAAAAATTAATAGCCCCGCCTTTTGAGTTCCATTTTGAATTCGTAATTACATTGAGATTTTACCGTATAATTAATTAATTAATTAATTACTATTTTTTTGTTGTTTAAATAATTAAATCAATATATAAACAAATTATAATATAGAAAAATAATCGAATTTTTTATCCTATATACATTTTTCTTATCTTCTATACTCATATTCTTCTTTTTCTGTTTTTTTTTGTTCTTCAGATTCATTCGATTCAATTTCCTCGTATGTGTCTCCTCTCTCTCTCTCTCTCTTTCTCTCTTTTCTCTCTTCAAACATTTTCTCTTACCCGTCATTTCCGTGTATGATACGAACGAATGTAATATCTCGTTCAGTTATTCTAACGACAAAGGAACGTTACAAAGCTTGCGCATATTTGTTTAGGCGCACATTACACAGAGTCATAGAAAAAGAGAGAGAGAGAGAGAGAGACAGAGAACATGTGTCATACGTTTGTGAACAAATTTTAAATGGAATAGAAACGGTATACATATATATATCGCATAATACATATTCTCATTTCAACCTTTTGAAATTCACTCATGTCAGTTCGACTATTTCGAATTTTAATCGTTCTTCTACGTTTTACTTGTAATACCTTCCCCCCCACTCCTTCCCTCACTCCTTCCCCCCACTCCTTCCCCCCACTCCTTCTCTAATCCCTACTCCTTCCCTCGCCTCCACTGCGCACTTCTTTTTTTCTTTCTTTTCTTTTCTTTTCTTTCATCTTTCTTTCAACTCATTTGTTTCTTTGTAATCTTTTCTTTCCTATTGCATATTTTAATCCTACGTATTATAATAGTTCAAGGAGTCATTAAATTTTTGTTTTAATCCCCTAAGTGGGAGGTGGGGGTAAATCGTATTGTGCGTTCTACTTTTTTTTTTTTTTCGGTTTAGTATCATTCAATTTTGACGTATTCAAAAGTAAAAGTATTTTATGTTTCTCGTGGAATCTGTTGGTATAAATGTTCATTCGGTTTAGCTTATATTTTATATCTGGGGATGGAGTGGGGGAAGTAGAAATACAATTAGATTCGATAAGAGTTTCAAGGTGGTCTGGTAAAAATCAAATTTCTTTTTTTAAACTACGATTTACATGTTAAGAATCTGTTCGGATCAATTTTGATAGTTCGTGATTTGGAAAATAAATGTTTTGATAAATTGTTTATGATTGTTGTCAAATTTTCGATCAATTTTTAAAATGAGTCCTTCAGTTTTTATCTTTTAAGGTTCAATGAGAGTTTTAAAATGTAGTGTAATTTTAAAAAAAAAATCAATACGAACTATAACCTTGCTAGCTTTTGATTTTGAGAATAAATGTTTTAACAAATTGTATAAAATTGTTGTCAGATTTTCGATCAATTTTTTAAATAAATTCTTAGATTTTTATGTTTGTAGGTTCAATGAGAGTTTTAAAATGTAGTGTAATTTTTTAAAAATTAGTACGAACTATAACCTCATTAGCTTTTGATTATGTGTACAAATGTTTTAGCACATTGTACAAGATTGTTGTCAAATTTTAGATCAATTTTTAAAATGAGTCCTTCAGTTTTTATCTTTTAAGGTTCAATGAGAGTTTTAAAATGTAGTGTAATTTTGAAAAAAATCAGTACGAACTATAACCTCATTAGCTTTTGATTATGTGTACAAATGTTTTGGCACATTGTACAAGATTGTTGTCAAATTTAGGATCAATTTTTAAAATGAATTCTTAGATTTTTATGTTTGTAGGTTCAATGAGAGATATAGTTTTAAAATGTAGTGTAATTTTTCAAAAATTAGTACGAACTATAACCTCATTAGCTTTTGATTATGTGTACAAATGTTTTGGCACATTGTACAAGATTGTTGTCAAATTTAGGATCAATTTTTAAAATGAATTCTTAGATTTTTACATTTGTAGGTTCCAATAGAAATAAATTTACAAAATGTATTAGTTTTATTAGAAAATATTGAATATTTTGAAAGCTAAACAATAAAATTTGTGATAAATCTCCATTTAAATTCTAAACGTTTCGATTAATCGTACTTTTTTCTTTTTAACTTTTTATACTATTTTCGTATGTTTAAACATTCTTTTTTACGATATAAAAACTTTACGTTTTTTTTTGTTTTCTTATAAATACAATCCAAGTTCTCCACACCACATCGATTCTCCGTACAAGCACGAAAAATATTTTCGTCGATTTTTATCGCGAAAAATAAAAATTGTTTACTCGTGTTTCATCCTTTTCCCGATATTTAAACAAAAGTAATTTTAACAAAGAATTATTTTTTTTAACGTCATGATTGCACTAACGATAATAAATAAAAAAAAAACCAATACAAAAATAAATAAATACGAAATTTTTTTGTGTTAAATTTCGACTAAAAATAATAAATAATAAAAAATACAATCAAATATCATTCAAAAGTAATCAAATATCTACATTCTAAATTTTAATTTACGATCATTCGTTGCGTCGTATCGTTGAGGAAAAAGTATGTTAACCATCATCTTCTCTTGCTAAAGATAAAGATAAAGAGAGAGATAAACTGTGTATGTATGCGTGTGTAAGAGAGAGAGAGAGAGAGAGAGAGGAAATGCTATTTGTTGATCTTCTATTTTAGTGGCTTGAAATAGCATTGGAAAGTGGAAAATTGAATTTCCGAGCATGATCAGACCTTCTCGTCTGTTCTCATCTCTTTTTCACTTAGGTTGTTGATCAATGAATCCTTAATGAATGAGATTACCTCGAATAGGTGGTCAGAGGGAAGGTGACAACACGATGTTTGTGGCATGCCTGCAAAGCTCTTGGTATTGGACTTCTCTTAATGCTTTTGGGAGCTTGCATGGCAACTATAGGTGAGTTTGAAAACAAGGATAATAATGTCGTAACCGATCTGCTGATCGATTCATTATCTAACCAAACTTTTTTTTTGTCCTTTTTTCCTATTTTTTTCGATAATAATATTGCATCGACAGTTGTTTGCTAATTCAAAAATTTCTATTACATAGGCCATTTTTTTTTTAAATTATTGATCAATTTACGCGTAAACGTAATAGAATTATTTAATTAATCTAAGTATTATTTTATTTATGGTTAGGAATAGATAAAACATGTGTAATACTCGTTTATTATGCGTTTTGATTGAATCTAAACATTTTTCTAATATTAAATATTGTATTTCATATTTTGTATGAATGTTTCGAACTTATCATTGTTTATTTTATTTTTATTTGTTTTTGGTTTTTTGCTATGTTTTTCAAATAGGTTACTACGCGGATCAATTATCAGTGGCACAAGAGATAAGAGGTAATTTGACGATTAAAGTGAAAAATGAGTCACGTGAGTTTCATTTGAACAACCTCAGTTACGCCGGGCCGATAGTCATGGGTTTTGGAGGTAATTTTATTAATAGTATAATAATTATACAAATAAATGATAAATATATTTAACACATTTGTATTTACACTTTCACATTAATATTATAGTAGATAATATTTTAATGTACATCACAATGTATCTACCTACGTTCGTTTAATCTTTTCTCATTTACATACACCGATATTTTTTGTTCGCGTTTTATTTTATTTTATTTTATTTTATTTTATTTTATTTTTTTTTTCATATTAATAATATAACTTTTATTATATTACAATTTACATAGAAATTTTTCTAATATTCGAAATGAAAGAAGAATTGAAGATGATTTAATTGTTTTTTTCACGCGTGTCGATAATAAAATCGATATAAAAAATGTATAAATATTTTTATTATTATTATTTATAACAATAAAATATTTTTATTTAATTATTACGTGTATATATATGTATTAATATTGTTTAATGAGAAAAAAAATGAAAAAAAAATATATTTGCCCCCAGAGAGATTTGAACTCTCGACCCCTGGTTTACAAGACCAGTGCTCTAACCCCTGAGCTATGGAGGCTTGTGAAAGGAAGTTAACAATAACTCTACCAGAGTCTTCTTAGCCATGAATATTTCTCAATTATAATATTTTTTTTAAATCATTATTATAATTATAATATATATATATATATATATATATATATATTTATTTTTAATTAAACGTATTAACAAATTTACGCGAATACCTTTTAATAGTCGTCATTCATCAACGGGGTCTTACAAATTGAATTATTAATTTTTTTTAATATAAAATAATTATTTAAACAAAATAACAAAAGCAACAACAACAAATTTATTTATAATAATAAACAGATATATATGTAAATACTTTATTGCCCATTTTAGGATTTATCGTTGTAGCTGTATGCGTGATGACCTTCGAGGCACGTGATAGCGCAGCTAAAGTTGTACCGGCACGTTTTAGATTCAATCAAAGTACGTTGAAAGGTGCTAAAACTCAACGAAATCGTAGATCAACGTCTTGTCAAACGACTAATAATAAATGGGATCATCAATATGGATTATTCAGGATAAATCGTAGCTTGAGTCCGAGCGCTCAAGAAATTTCTCGAAGACAATTGAAGGCTGAATTGGTCAGATTTTCACGAGAATTACAGGAAAAAAGTTTATCCCATACCATCAAAAAGAGTCCCAGTGCACCGATTTTAATAGATAAGAAATCACCACGTAGGGAAACACCACAGTATGCTGGCTGTGCATTTCTAAATCCACAATTGTTGCAGAGACATGCATTGTCCGTTGATAATCCAGCTTATAGTCCACCACAAGTAAGTCAAATCGATTAAAATATACACCGTGAGTGTTAAATTGTGAAGTAACTTGTTTTAATCTTATCTTTTTCAGTATTAAGTATTACTTTCTGCGTTACATTGATAAATTTATAACGTAATATATTACATGACGTAATTTAGGATGATCGATTTATCTGTCTATTTAATATCCACTTATTAATATTAGAAGATATGTCAACACTATTTTTATTACAACATTCGTAAATTTCGATTTATCGTATCCATTTTGTAACAGATCAGTCGGGAAAGTTTGGAGTATCCAAAGTTAACTGGTAGTCAAGCTTCCATGGCAATGGATCTTCATATTCCTAATAAAGGACCAGTTACGTTAAGGGTTAGAGATCGATCGGATACAGCGAGACGACATCAGTTGCTTCGTCAAACAAAAATCGAAGACGTCGAGGAGACCATGGAATCAAAAAGGCCAACTTCCGGATATATATATTCCCCAAGATTATCAGGTTAGTATTTTATTTATAACATATATTGGTTACAAATTATCATCAGCTATCTTTAATACATTCAAATATTCATTTTCAAAAAGATCGGATCGATTTTTCATAAAACAGTCCGCCATTTTTCGTTCGCCATTTTGTTTTTTTTTTTAAATTCTCTAATAGCAATTTTCCAACAAATTAAATGCCTGGGGTTAAAAAGGTCTCAGAAAAGAAACTTCTTTTATTTTTTTAGTTTTTGTTATGTGTAATTTTGGCAAAGTTTGTTTTCATTTTTCATTTTAAAACTAAACTACATTAAAATGAATATATTTTCTAGGTGTATACAACAAGTATCCCGCCGAGTACGTAATTGGAAAAAGGAATTCGGTGGACGTAAGATATTTGGACGATTTAAATACCCTTTCGTCGAGGGATTCATCAAAAGTATCACCGCGAGATTTTCGAAAACTATCGTCCCCGAATTTTCGTAAAATGTCATTGGACAGAATAGGTGGTGAACATAGGTTGGACAAATCGATGGGTCATCGTAAGGCAAGTTTGGAATTTAGAAAAAGTCCGGATTTTCGTCGTGGTGATTACAGGTTAGTTTGATGTACAGGTAACCCTCCTACAACATGGAATCCTATAACACATTGTCGTTCTAAAATCATTCATAAATTGCAAAAATCTTGATACAGCATTGTATTTTTACAACACTGTATAACACAATGATTGATTAACATATTTAAAAACTACAAATTAATTTTGAGTCTCATATAACACGGTTTTACTCAACAAAGCATTTTTTAGGAACCTGTTTTAATTGGAGGGTTACCTGTTTTATAAACATAATGATTTACATATTACATTTGTATTTTATAAATGTATACTGTTTTTTTTTTAGAAAATTATCGGTGGACAGATTTAGCGTGGATTACACTAGATGCGTAATGGACGAGGTTGAAATTAGATCAAAAGCAAACAGCGGTGAAAGTTTGAAGAGACAACAACGTTATCCTAAACTTCATCATTCCCGATCTGACGACAACAGAAGACGTTCCTTCGATAAAAGTCAAAGGGAATCCCAATCAAGTAGATATTCTTTGAACACTCAAGGTGCTACTGACAGTGCTGATTACGATTTAAGATATTTCATATCAACTTCATTAAGCACCGAGGAAAGTCGTACGGAAAATCCCGATGACAGTCATGGTTTTGACATTGACGAATCTTTGACAATTCCTTCACCTTTAGAAGGACAAGCTGAAACTGATACGCTATTGGAAGAACCCGAATTAGAAAATTTAACGGAAAACGATACGGAAAATAACGTTGATCGTTTTAATCGTTGCGAGGATATTAAAAATGTCGATGAAGATTTGAGAAAGGTTGATGATATGATGTTGCAAGATTGGGAAAATGTTTTAAAGGAATCGGAAAGAAAGAGGGAAACTATTTTGTGTATAGAAGATGACGAAGTTTGAAATCTGTTACTTTATTATTATTATTATTTGTTATTTCTTTAAAGGGTTTTAGTAATGTTTTCCTTAATCAAAGAAATAAGAAGACTTCAGAATGAATTATACAAATCGATTATGTCTTCTAGTCGAGTTTAACTAGTCTCTCATTTTTTGATCATTGACATTTGACATGGTACAAACGATGAATATATTTTAAGCTGTATATATATATATATATATTTGTGTATTTTTAATAAGTGGCTTTTAAAGGAACGATACGTTGAATATAAGTATAAAGAGATTAAATTGAAAATATTATTTACAATTAGATAGTTGATTCATTAAATGCGAGCCTAATTTAGGCTGATTGTGAGATTGAATCATTTTGAGGACCATTGATTTAAGTAGAGAATACAATTCTGTGATCTGTAACTCGTAGTAGCAATGGTGTTAAACGATAAACTAATGGGAATCGTGACAAAAGAACGAGCTTTTTAAATTAAAAGGAGAAACATTTTACAAGGTTTTAATACTACCGGTTGATACGGCCTTCGAATTAATTATTATATCATCAATGTTTCAAAATGTTCAATATTTATTGTTGTAGATAAATTGTTGTATAGGAAACAAAAAAAAGAGAAAGAAAGAAGGAGAGTAAAAGGTAATGGCGGAGATTAACCCTTTGTCCTATCAGTTAACTTCCAATTTGACCCATTATTGGGTCATAATAATCAAGAAATTATTATAATTAATATTAGATTTTATTTTTTATTGACATGATTCATTCTTTTAAGGATTTATAAAGAATAATCTGTGTGAATGTAAGGAGAAGTTTCATGTAACGAAGTAAGAAAATGTTGAATACAATTGAACCACGAGTCTGACTCGTGTTGATTATTATTGGTCTGAAATATCACGGATCAGACTCGTGCTTATTGTTTAAGGTTTTACAGCCAAATTTTTGAAGGTTTTTCTAGTCTCACTCGTTGTAGGACAAAGGGTTAAGTTGTACCAGGACTAAGGCCTTGGAATATTAAAAAGGGGTTCCCCAAAAGGACTCCTTGAAATATTGAAATTACTTTTATGAGAAAAATTGCATTTCTTTTTTACCAATTGATTTAATTATTGTATTTTAAGGTACGCAATTTTTCATAGTTATTTCTTTTCTAATTTCATTTTGAGGACTCCAAAATTGTGATTCCAATTGTTTGGTGTCTTCCCTACTTAAAAAATACAAAAAATGAGGCGTGCGCAAAAGTTTGAAATCTTTCAAGTTAGTTGATTACTTTACTTTTTATATAATCCCGATCAAATGAATTATATATTTATCGATAATCAATTGTTTCGGTGTCACGAATGATCAAACCTAACCTATAAAACGGACAATAAAATACGCCCGAATAAATCATCATCACGCGACACACTTTTACAAACTTTTCCAGTCTAAATAAGTTTGCCAATTTTTTTTTGGTCTCCCCCCACCTTCATTTGACTATCTTCAATTGTCAAGTTACATTTTGTTATAAGAAAAAGTAGAAAATGATCGTAAACGAGCGATTATTGTTTTTTCTTATTTTTAATTCTCAATTAAAACGTATTTTATTATTGAAGTGTGAAACAATGTTAAAGCGTCAATACAATCACTAAAATAATTGTAATAATTAGAATGTAAAAGATAAGTCGTTGTGTTAATTTTCAAATTTGAAGAAAATAAGACTAATTGGGTGACATGAAATGTCCCCTTATATAAGCATCATATATATTATATATTATATATTATATATATATATATCTAGAGTTTAATGATTGTATTTAATAAAGGTTAACATTTTCGATTTCGTATAAAAAAAAAAATGATTTATTCTCTTTGAAAATTGAAAATATTATTATTATTATATTCCCTTATCAAAGGAAGGAAGCAAAAGAAAGTTCCTGTAACTAACCCCTCTGACTATTCACACCCTCTCTTCAAGTATCAACCTTAGTCTTCCTACAAGCCTAAATCTTTAATTCTATTCTTCTCACGGAGTAACCAAAATTGAAACGAATTTGTTCTCTGATGAATTTTTTGTCTTCTTTCACTTGTTCTTCTTTTTCATCTTTTTTCCATTAGTAGTTCGACATTGACGTATACCATTTGGTGAGTATTTTTCTCACGATTTTCGGGGTGGGGGTGGGGGGTAGCTTAAGGTGTCGAGAAATGTTTAATAGTTTTATTACTACCATAAGATTCTTATGAAAAGAACAGAACAAAAGTTGATACTGAAAGATTTAGCGATCGTAACATATTGCTTAAAAAGATCAATGAATATGGTGGAAGGGGAGTAGTGGTGGGGATTATGGGTTGTAGTGGGGGTGATCGGTTGTGATGGTGGGGAGATTGATGTGAGGTAAGATGCAATTTGATTTACGTGGAAATAGAAAAAGTTAATTAAATGACAATAAAGATATTTGCAAGATATTTATTATTATTATAAATATTAAAAGAATATTTGTTTATGGGGTAAGATTAATGTAAATTGAAAAAAAAGGAATTGTTGCTTCATTGATTCTTTTCTGTTTTTAAATATATTTTGTAAGATTTTAAAAATCAAATGGCGCTAATGGCGGATTAATCATAAATTGATCATTTTCACGATTTATAGGTTATGTAATATTAATTAAAACTCTTCAAACGTGTTTATTTCAAAATTATATTTCTTTAATTGGCAAGTAAATATAATTAAAATATAATTGTGTACATCAATTCAATCTAAAATTTATACAATATTTTGAAAAATTAAATTGTCATAATAAATATGTAGAGGAAACGTTTTTTATTTTTTTTTTTTTTATTTACAATCGATTTTATTTTCTAATTTTTTTTTTTTTTTAGCGAAATAAAATTAACAAAATGAATAATAAATTTATTGCTAAACAAAAAATGACATTTATATTACAAATGACATCCATTTTTCCTTGCTTTAAAATTATTGATAAATAATAAGACGTAGATGAAAAATAAAAAAGAAAAATTGGCAAATTATTTGTTTCTATTTATTTGTTTGTTTTGTTTAAATATTCAATAAAGATATATTTATTACAATAATACGATTTTGGTAAAAAGGAAATAAAATATTTATATATTTATATATTGTTTCTTCTTTTTTGTTTTTTTGTTTTTTTTTTGTTTTTTTTTTCTTTTCAACGATTTACATAGGCGTTTTGTTATCCCATTTAAGAAAGTGATAAATCTAATTTAGATGCAACATATAGACCAAAAAGAAAGGTTGTTAGATTTTATTTGTATTATTTCATAATTGGATAACGATAATAGCATTTCACAAGTGAATTTAGGACAGAAGTAGATTTACATTGAATCATTTTAATAGTAGTAGCTTTCGTTGATTTTTAGGTTAGCGTCGTCTTCCAAAGCGTAAGAAAACATGATCAACGTCTTGTCTTTTAACACCACTTCCTGGCAACGGGTTGTTTTCTTGAAGTACTGAAACTTTTATTTTCAAATTATGTAATATTCATTTATTATTTGTAGATGTTTCATTTTATTTTTATCTACGATCATTGTCACTTAGTTTTCTCTTTCTGTTTCTGTTTGTTTTTCTTTTTTTTTGGATTGAACAATCAAGATCGTTATCCGAATTCTAAGAAAACGAAACAATAATCATCCTATAAGAACTTATTGCTTTAGGGTATAATTGTTTTCAATCTTTGTACACACCCTACTGTATTTAACCTAATTATACTCGTGTGATTATGTGAACGATGGTGAATCTCATGTTGGAGGAAAGAAAAGAAAAACAAAAGGTCGAGCATTTCCTGTTCGTTGGATTGTTGGATAATTTGATCTTGATTTTGTTTTCTTTTTTCTTTTTTCTTGTGTTCGAACGAAAATACTTTAGAGTACTTTTATATAATAAAAAAAAAAAAAAACAATGATTGGATTATCTGTTGGGATTGTTGTTTCTTTTAAATGCGTTTATAATGTTATGATGGTGGTAACTAAATTTATCCGTGAGAAAATAGAACTTGGAAAATGTCAAGATTTACAGGGTGAAATGTCAACATTTAAACAATACGATTGGTGAAAGATCGAATATTTGCATTTTTTTCTTATAAATTAAATATTACAGACATGTACCACGTGAATCACGAAGTTGTCCAATTTCGAATTTTTAATTTATACATAACCTATACATATTTTGATCGAAAAAATGTTTTATTGACGATCTTACGTAAGATTGTTAATAATTTGAGGTATAATTGTGAAAAATTAATTAACCATCGTAAAGAAAATATGATGAAAAATAATTTGAATAAAAAAAAAAACAAAAAACAAAAAAAAACATTGATTGACGATAAAACGATTTAATTAATGCTAATAATTTCAATCGAAAATCTTTGTTGTTTCAAAATGTAACCATTTTTCTTTGTAAACATCCTCCATTAATGTTGAAAAATACATTGAAAAATACGCGTTAAATTATCATAAATAAAATGTTATCCTATTATTATGAATGATGTGAATAAAAATAGATTGAAATAAAAAAAAGTACCTTTATCGTTGACGTAACTTTCCATCGCTGAGCTTAGTTGATATATGGTTGAAAGAGCAGCACAAATTTTTCGTACCCTTGGTGGTACTTCATCGAGTAATCCTGGACTACATTGGGCCGGTGGCATAGCAAAAATTTCTCCAAATAAAATTGTAACTGCCGCCAGGGATACAACGATCGTTAACATGGAGTTCATGATTGACTGTAAAACAACAAGCAAAAGAAAAAATAAATCAAAACAAATTGATATAAAAGTTTGGAATAAAAGATGGATGAGAATCATTGTCCCATTGGACGAGTTTGTTGTCCTACTGTTGAGATAGCTGAAAGTTTTATGAACCAGTTTTATAATTCAGTTAAAGGTTAGGTTAGAATTTTGTATTGAATCAAAAGAAATATTTTTGTTTGTCAAATATTTGTTGGTTAAGGTTAGTTTACAATTTTGTATTGAACCAAAAGAAATGTTGTTTGTAAAACATTGTTTCTACAGTTATGGTTATTGAATGAACAAAACTATGTGATTTTTATATACAAAATAATTCTATTCAGTATTCATAAATAATAATTTGTCAAAAAGGTTCACTTTCGGATTACAACACGCTCAGGTGCGTATCTAAATGTTTGTTTTATCGATGCAATGATTTTAATACAATTTTTAGAAAAGATCTTCCAGTAAGGTAATCTGTTGATTTCACAAAATTTGATGCATCACTAGGTGTTCAGAAAAAAAAGAAAATGGTTTCAACGTATGATCATTTTTTTGATTCAGTATCCATAAATTGTAATTTGCCAAAAATCTTCCATCTACGAGTACTAAAACATTTTCGTAGATTTAGTTTAATCAATAACGCAATAGTTATAATAAGATTTTAGTAAAGATTATATAAATAATCAAAGAGAACTTGTACAAAGTTAGCCCTTGATCCAAAAATTGTCCAATGCATCATGAAATCGATGCCAGGTGTGTGTTGTGTGTGTGTGTGTGTGTGTGTGTGTGTACACCTTGTTGGCATTCTGTCAATTCACTTAAATCGTGTGAATGTTATGTGTATTCTCGAATGATCTCTTATGATAAATTTTGTCTTAAATTTCACTCGTTAAAACTAACATTGTACAATTAATTAATATTATATACACAAGTGATAAGAACCAAAAAAAAAAAAAAACAAAATGGAAGGTACATTATTTTTACAATTAAATTATTGATATTTCATTGTCAATTTAATTTGTGATTATTTATATTTTATATTGTTTATAAATTTCATTATGTTACCTGACAAGATTAAATACGAAATAAGATTAATTTGGAAACACAAAAGAAAAGAAAAGAAAAGAAAAGAAAAAAGAAAACTAAAAAACCAATAAAAACAATCAATTTTATTTCTCATTCCTATCTCGAATTTCTATGTACATATGTGTATACATGTGTGTACGTATGTGTGTGTGTGTGTGTGTTTTATCAGTAATGTGAGTTTTATTAAAATTCGTTGGAAAATCGTTTAAAATTCGGTCAGTATTATATGAGATACGATTGGTATTTGTATTTGAAGTAAGGTGTTACATTACAAAGAAAGAAACGTGAATAAGGACAAGGTAAAAGGAAAAGGGCAAGGAAAAGGAAAAGGAAAGAAAATTATTCGTATAAAATGTCTTGAGTAAATAAAACCCTTTAGTTGATCCGAATGCGATCTTACAGTCAAACTCGATAATCCTTATTCAGTCAGGAGTATTGAGAAATGTGCACGTGCTAGGATTTTCCGATACTTTTTTCTTATCCTTCTACTTTGCACGACCAATAATCGCGAAAACGTGGGCTTTTGAACATATAACCTTGTAACCTTTATACTTAAATTATAGAAGTGGAATACTGTTTCTTTTTTTTTTTGTTCTTTCTCATTTTTCGATCATCTTTTTAATATGATAATTCGAGGAATAGAGTAACACGAATATTTTTACGCGAAAAGAATTATTTTAATAATTTACTGTGTATATATACACTTTGACGTGTCACACTCGTGATACTAATTTTAGATCAAATATGAATATTAAGTGTTGTACTCTTGATACTAATTTTAGACTAAATACGAATACCATAACGTGTCACACTCGTGATACTAATTTCAAATCAAATACGAATACCACAATGGTTTATACTCGTGATAATAACTTTAGATCAAATACGAATACTAAGTGTTATACTCGTGATACTAATTTTAAATTAAATACGAATACTACCACGTGTACCACTCGTGATACTAATTTTAGATCAAATACGAATATTAAGTGTTATACTCGTGATACTAATTTTAGATTAAATACGAATACTACCACGTGTACCACTCGTGATACTAATTTCAGATCAAATACGAATACCACAACGGTTTATACTCGTGATACTAATTTTAGATTAAATATGAATACCACTACGTGTCACACTCGTGATAATAATTTTAGATAAATACGAATACTAAGTGTTATACTCGTGATACTAATTTTAGATGAAATACGAATACCACAACGTGTTATACTCGTGATAATAATTTTTATCAAATACGAATACTAAATGATGTACTCTTGATACTAATTTTAGACTAAATACGAATACTACCACGTGTACTACTCGTGATAATAACTTTAGATCAAATACGAATACTAAGTGTTATACTCGTGATACTAATTTTAGATCAAATACGAATACTACCACGTGTACCACTTGTGATACTAATTTTAGATCAAATATGAATACCATTACGTGTCACACTCGTGATAATACTTTTAGATTAAATACGAATACCACTACGTGTCACATTCGTGATACTAATTTTAGATCAAATACGAATACCACAACGGTTTATACTCGTTATACTAATTTTAGATGAAATACGAATACTAAGTATTATACTCGTGATACTAATTTTAGATTAAATATAAATACCACTACGTGTCACACTCGTGATACTAATTTTAGATCAAATATGAATACCACGTGTCATACTTGTGACAACAGTTTGTGATCAAACGTAAATTCCAACCATTTGAGAACAAATTTTGTCTAAGCTAAATGTGTTTTGTTTAAATTCAAGGATTGATAGTATTTTTTAAAAGTATAAACAATTGAAAGTATTTTAAGTAAAATAAGAAGTAAAATTTAAATAATAATATAATAGAATAAGAATATTTATTGTATTAATAATTAATTCAAAATCAAATCTTTTCAAATGATATACAATATAACCTACAAATTTAACGAATCAAATTGAAAGTACGTATTATATTTTAAGTAAAATAGAAAGTGTGTAAAATTGTTTTCCTTAAAGAATAAGATTATTTATTCTATTAACAACAATTAATTAAAAAAAATCAAATCTTTTATATCTTGATAATAAAATGATAAATAAAATAACGTGCAACATAAAATTTTGTATTAAATTGGAAAAGAAGAAAAAAAAAAAAGTCACATGTTATTCCAACTTTTGTACAATTTTCATGAATAACTGTAAAAAGGGGAGAGTAAGAGATGAACGTGTTTAAATAATTTAATCTGAAATTCTCGATAAAGGTAAGAATTTAAAAGCAGTTATTTCCCTGACAGGTAGGATAGGTAGGTAGGTAGGTAGATAGATGGCTTTGAGACACGTAAACGTAACAGGTGGTTTGAATTCATAGCATTTTGAAATAGTCAAGACCACAGGTTAGGTTTCCTCAACATGAATATTCCAAGAACTTGATCAGTTCCATTTATGCATCATGGTACATATACATTATTAGACAGATACTCGAATAAATTAGTGTATTATATTATTAGAAACGTTATATTTGCAAAGAACAAAGAAAAAAAACAAAAGAAGAAAAAACAAAATAATAAAACGAAATGATTAAAACAATAAAGAGTTAGTTACACGAGGGGTGAAGTTTAG